TCTATTAAGTACAATTTTAGCAGAACAAATAAAGATTAACAAGGAAGCTGGCATTATCAGTCGACTTTTTGGGAACATAACTAAGCACCGTACCGTACATACACCCACAGCTAAAGCCTAGTTTTTAAAACCTCAGTATATAAGGTTAAACTAACCTGTATTCGTTTTCCTCAAACCTTACTGTTTATGGGTGGTTCATATCTTAAAAATCTGTCCAATTGTCGACCTTATTCCGTCACAGCAAACCGTTATCGTTACAAAAGTTACAGACAGGAGGCGGTTCGCCTTCACCCAAAAATGCAAATCGCTTGCTAACGGCGCCAGCAGATTTCTAACTGTAACCGCGCCGCTCCCATAACATGACAGGAAAGTGAATTACGATAAGTGCAATATTCAACTCAATCGGGGTCTCAGTCATTTTGTCTAGCCCACCTTACGCCCACATAGTCTGGTCAGGAGATTCTCTGTTAGTAGACGTTTAAAAAAGACATTCTTTGGTTTGACCAGTCCAGACAGATTGGAATACCCATCCGTGTCAGATGATGCATCCATCCATATTATTGTAAATCCATACTAGATTCATAGCTCATAGGCGATGGCGACACAGTCGAGAGAATATATTCATCTACTCTCAAGTTTAATCCCGTTTTTTTTATATTCTAAAGAGTTGAGTCTTATCGATGTGATTTAGTTCATTCATCGCGGTATACCGTAAGGCTAAACGTAACATAGTGAATCAATTGGTTTGTTAACAAAAAGGCACAGTAGATCTATGAAAAAGCATGATCAAATGTCCGAGCAAATACTCCAAATAGACTCAAATTGAAGCTTGATGATTCATGTGCATCAGCATTGACTTTAAATAATTAATTAGTTTACCCAGAATTACTTGCATCGACATTATAATGTAGGATAGAATTTTCCACATTAAATGTTACGGACTCTGCAGCATTTTAAAAGGACAGCAAATCGACCGCATTCCAAATGTTTATTACATAGGTCATAACTTTACCGCAACAATTAGGTTACTTCGTCGAAAAATGTTACATGCAATATTGTAAACGACAACGTAAGTTCGATCAAAAATAAAATTTGCTTAATTATGTTACAAATTGGTCATTTGCAAATTGGCAAATGGGGATGGGATGGAATTATAGGTACATACTACTATTGATTTATTAGAATATTCTTAACTTTTCTAGAGAAATTTGATAACTAATGAATTATTGGAAAAATTATAGTGCTTACTGCACTTACATTTGCACTAATAAACATGGATTTAAGCTGTATCATGATAATTACTATAAATAATAAAAACCTTAACCAACTATCTCTGTATCTAAAGATTAAAGTTACAAGAAAGCAAATATTATTATCATGATAAGATGGTTTGTGGTGGATGATGATCTTTACTAATATTATAAAGCTGAAGAGTTTGTTTGTTTGTTTACTTGAATGCGCTAATGTCAGGAACTGCTGGTCCGATTTAAAACATTATTTCAGTGTTAGAAAGCTCATTTATCGAGGAAGGCTATAGGCTATATACCATCACGATACGAGTAATAGGAGCAGAGCAACAATGAAAAATTATGCAAAAACGGGTTTTCACGCGAACGAAGTCGCGGGCACAGCTAGTAATTACTATAAAAATCCTGAACCAACTATCTCTGTATCTAAAGATTAAAGTTACAAGAAAGCAAATAATATTATTATCATGATACGATGGTTTGTGGTGGATGATGATAATAATATGGTAATGAATATGGGCGTGATTGGGACGTGGTTGTGACTTGTGATGATGCGTGGTGATAAAAATGAAACACTAGTTTTGTTCGCACCTATGTTTGCATTGTAACATCGAGGCTTTCAGTATGCTAAACTATGGTTAAATAAAGAAAAAAGTATTTTAACAAAAGACGTTTTAAATAAAACAGAGGACAAGAAATTAATATAAGAAAAGTATTCGGCCAGGATTATAAAAGAAAAGTTCCGTGGGAAGGCGACGCAACTTATGGAGTTACTATTAAAACAGTGGATGCAATTAATTCTAAAGCAAACAAAGTTTATAAAAGTATCAGGAATTTTTGTGGTCTTTTAAAAGATCAATTGATTCGGCCAGACAGAATCCGGTAATAAAAATTATAGCCGTGTACTGTGAAGTCAGAGCGGGTCACTTTTGCCTTGATAAATTGATTTTAGATTGCTCTCGCCCGTGACTATCAAAACTTGATTAGTGGGGTCAGGTTATCGATTCTGTGAAGTCGGGACCAACGGTCTACCTCTGCACAGAGATTTTGAATTCCATATAATCGGCTCGTTTGTATCTAACGCCTACAAGAAAGACGTGTTCGATGTTTCGTTACCGACTTGCCTTAAATGAATCGTCTATGTTTTATATTAAAAGCAGGGATGGGAAAAGGTTGATATTAAAAAGGTTGTTGCTAATCTTCCGTCAGTTAACAAAGATTGATTACCAATCAGTCACACCTTGGACCAAAACATGAAAGAGCGTCTGCTCATTCATAATAAGGATTGCGTAACAATAACAAGAATTCGCGAGAACCGGTGCTTGCAGAATCGCGAATAACTTTCACATAATGTAGGAAGTGCGTTGTTTGTAGAAATCTGTATGCGACGTGGGGTGCCGACTTTCGATGTGGGAACCCTCGAGAATGATAAACGATTGCCTTTCGCCAGAGTCCAGACGAAGCCATATCAATGCTTAAACTTGGTGAACGTATAATAGCGTTCAATACACCACGAGTTCGGACGTTATTGGATTTTAGATTGGTAGACAAAATAAAGGGTATTCAATATTCATATATCACAAGCTGTTTGTTATTATCGATTATATTCTGCTAGGCATTAAATGTTGCAAGTAGGTTATGAGTGTTTTTTATTTGCGGTACAAGTCGGTATTCGGTAGCGATAGTTGTCCAATCCGTGGTATTTATACCATCACGATCATGATGTACTTTTTGTCCTTTTACTAGGATTAGGCTAAAGACCTTGGTGGATTAATGGTCTTGAACATTTGAGTCTTGGCTATTTTTACTTATTTTTTGCAAGCTTTATTTTAAAACAGGCTTTGTTTGGTTTGGCTGCACACTTGTGGTCTTTATTGACGTCTTATGTATTTTTTGCCGACGTGAACTCCGTATTTTTCATGAATTGGATTCGGTGGAGGATGGATAAGATCACGATTACTGATGATTACATAGAGAACCTCCGTATATCCAATGGTTGTCTAAGTTGGATACCGTATTGAACTTTTAGGATCACAGACAATTTATTGAGTTCAAGTAACCAATTCTTTTTTCATCGTTTAAAACTCTTATTTCAAGAACATAAGGTTCTAGTTATGATTTCAACATTATGCAATTAATGGTTAAAGCACGTTAAAGGTTCAATCATTCTGTAATCTTGGACTACCCTATATTATGACTTTCTTTAGACGCCTTGACGGTATTTGGTCAGCCTAAACATCTCAGAATAGGGTCCATTGTCGGCCAATCGCAGGCTCCGACACACCGTGCAGTCACAATGAAACCTGACACCGCCGCAATTGCAGCAATCTCCTGCATTGTGCCTCAAATGTCAATAAAACTGCACTCAATTGGACAGCCCAGAATATTCCAAGAATTGATAAGGATGTTCATTTAGAGACAGATCATGGACCACTGGATGGAGAAGGATGTTTTGTAGTAGGCTGGGGAAATCTTGGAGATCCTGGAAAAAATTTGTAGGTAGGTACTAGGCTGGGGAAATCTTGCAAGATCCTGGAAAAGGTTACCCTTACAGTATGGTGACCCATACTCTTAGATGGAAGGACACCTTCATAAGATAGATATTAAGCTAATCTGTCTTAAAACAGACAGATTAGCTTAATATCTATCTTATGATTTCACAAACTAAATATACTTAACTAATTTCATCATTAAAACTAATGGACTTCTAATTACACTGTCATTATCTATAAATTACAATAAAAATTGCAAATTAGTGTACCTGTTCTACTTAAATTAAAAAGATGTTAAAAAAATATTTTTTTGTGTATATCGCAGTGGAAAATAACTCTTGAAACTTGTTGGTCTTCATACGCATAGGAAATTGAAATATTTATAAAGATTAATTGATTGTTGTCAACGGCTTCCTCAATCAATTCCAGCCTTCTTCAATCTTGATAATATCTTACCGTGTTGATATTATCAGGATATGGCAAAAGATTCTACATACTGTAATGGATGTGAAGGAGCCATTCCTTTCAAATTATTATGTTAAAATAGTTCCAGTCAAAAGAACTCTAGGACAAAAATTTTTTTGGTAATAATTAAATATTTTAATAATTAAATGAAGAGCAAGTACCTATTACTAAGCAATCATATGAGTTACATAACAGCAGGTAATTAAATAAACAATAATTATATCAAAACAACTGAATTGAGAACCTCCTGCTCTTGTTGAAAGTTANTTAATGTGGTTTAATGAAGAACAAAGTTGAATAATAGATCTTGCATAACTTTTTTTATATCTTCAATGATGCATCATAATATACAATATATCAGTATTTTAGACATCTGTGTTTGCCAATAGACAGAGATAAGTAACACTTCTATGTATACAACTGAAGTAGCTACTAAGCTTTCATTGATTTAATGGTGTAATTTTTAGTTCCATTAGCCATGTAATCATCTTTTGCAAACCTAAACACCTAGGTATTTCAGGTTTTTTGTTTACTAAACTGTTTCGTAACAAAGAACCCGTGTCATGACGAATGGATGTCTGCGCTAAGAGTGAAAGTGCCACTGGCTGCTGCCAGGCACCCACGCCATAGAGGTTCATGGTCACGTGAATTCGGCCCAACGACGCATCTCTGCAACCCTGAGATTTTACCCCGTCTGATAACAACTGGCAAGCCAAACCTGAATTATCCGATGAAATAACGGTACCTACTATCCGACCGCCTGTTTTTATCTACAATATTGCGTTTGAAAACTTACCTTAAAGTAAACATCCATAAGTATGGTATCTGGCAGCGAACGTAACTCATCTCGATAACACTTATTACTTTTATTATAACATTTTACCACGTTATGAATACACAACTCGTACAAACTATCAGGAATTTTCTTAGCGCGCAACGCCGACGACGCGTCAGCCATTTTTGCGAGATAAAGAAAAACTCGCTTCATTTTGCTGGCTCGTCTTGTCACAGGTTTCCGGAATTATTCGCACGAACTTCACACTATTTACTTCAACTTTCTATTGGTCAATTTCGCGTGTAAAATTCGCAAACTGTCGGCTGATTGGCCGTGTCAACCTTGAAGTCGACTGAATTCGGCTGTACTCGGACTCGGCTGGAAAAATATCCTCTATCCTTTTCTAACATTAGGTTAATGTGGTAAGAATAAAAACAACACAACAAAAATATGCGTTGTGTGATAGAGACAAAAATATGTATTCATGTTTCTACTTGTAATAAAAAAAAACAGCTGGTTGAGAGAAACGTCATCTGACTGATGTCGGGTCAGATCGCGGGAAGCTTTGAGAAGTAAATGAAACGCGCTCGTGGTTTTATACAAGAGCGATATGAGTATTATCTTCAGTATATTTGTATGCTGTATCATATTGATAACGTCCACGTTTGTATCACACACCCACCATGGGTGTGCGTTAAGGATAAATAAATACTTTATCGATAATATTCACTTCCACACACATGACACCATGACACACCCTTGGTGAAATCCCTAATTATTATTTTTCTCAACCCACAGATATATCTGTGCACATGACAAACGCATCTTTTTTATGATCACGATGCAATGGTGCATTTATGGCGATTTATTTATTACAATGTGACCAACATACAATGTTTATTTACATACATTTTGGGGGCTAATTACAAAAAGTTAAACACGCGTTAACACTTTACATTTTCATTTAGTGAAAATTACGTTATTTAAACACGTGTTCAACGTCTGTAGTCAATTTCTAGTTTTTTAATAATTAAAAATCTTGTTCTTGGTTCTAGCATTGATTACAACAAACTAATACTTTTAAGCCACAGGACGTCCACTGCTGCCTCCCCCAATGTAAGTCAATCCTTGGACTGGAATGATGATGATGAATACTTATGATGTAGTTTTACACCAGCGTGTGTGATAAGCGGACAAATCGTGGTGGGTCACGCACATGATCCGTGAACATAGCTAGCATAGTATTTCAACTGATTAAAAGTGAGCAGGGGGGGGTATTCAGGATTACATTTTCACGCTGAAGCGGGCTGGCCTTATCATATCATAGCACCCTTTTATTTAACGAGCTTGATCACGGTGTAAAAGTAAATAAATACAATTTATATTTTATTTCAACATTTTTATTCAGACATTTTTTAAACTAAACATATTATTTAACACTAAAATTGTTGAACAAATAACACATACGTGTCCACTAACTAAACTAACACCTTTAAAGCTGTCCTACAGGAAATAAATGCCTTTCCTTCCAACGTCTGTCGCCAGAGTAACACAATATTGTGGTCAAGTTTTTTCAGATAATGACTTTTTAGGCAATGATAATATTTCGATAAGCGAAAATGTTATAATAACTGTCAAATTACATAGGTACAAATAAATAAGTAACTCAATGAAAATAATTGGAAAATTATTTAACAGAATAATCGTAATAATTTGTGTGCAATTTTAACAAACCTTGAAAATAAAAATCAAGATGTAACATAGTACTGAGCCTGCAGTATAATGAAATTTGAATAGAGCACAATTTAGCAGTTGGGTCTGTAATGTTTACCAATCTGTCTACGCGTCCTGTCTATCACTATTCAAGAGCCAACAGCTAGAGTACTAATGGATTATTATGACCTCTTATTGGCAGCGATAAGCAGCATGCTTTTTTTAAACTATAGAACCATAGACAACGTCACTGTGATCTATCGCTTATCGCTGAGCCGTAAACTAAAACATTTACTGCTTAAAAAGAGGTCATAATGCCACCAGCTATCTATATGGACTGATGGTTTATTGTTTCCCGATGGTGAATTTGGAGATGGTCTCGAGGAGGTTGATGTAGGCGGCGTGTTCGTAGGCGGTGCTGAAGTCGGAGAGCTTCTGCACGAACTCGTTGCTGACGCCTTTCTCCTCGAGCAGGTTCATCAGAAGGTCGTATAGATACTGGGAATAGAGAAGAATGCTTTAAGTTTAGTATATTAAACCTTGAAATTAAATGATAAGTCATAAAACATGATTAATTTATTAAAATAAACTTTTTTTTATCAATACGTTTAGTTAAAAATCGTCTCAATAAAGAAAAAAGAATAGGTTGATAAAAATAGTCTAATCATTTTGATTTTCATCTAGAAAGAAAGTAAAATACTAATTTATTTACTAAAAAGTTGGCTAACCTTCAGCCGTTAATTTTAGATCATACATCTCTTGAACACAATATTTGAAAAGAAGAAAAATATTTATTTGACTTTCATTAGAGGAAGGTAAATGTCTTCTAAAGACCGACACTGAAAAATATTATGATTTTACGAAGGAAAAAAATTCATTTGAATAGCAAATGAAACCTAAGCAAATTATTATATTTGTTGGCAGTGTTTGGCTTTTGTCTGAGCATTGTAACCGAGCCACAAATGTCTACATTTTAACAAAAAAGAACATTAACAATGTCTATAAATATTTAATTAGAAAAAACAAAACAAAAACAAATACGTAACTATAGTTTTCAAATAAAATTATTAAGTTGTGTATAAAGTTTAATGTTACAAAAAAAGTTAGTATTTTCATGTTGCACATCATCGAATATTTCCCACACAGTATCGGAAATCGACTTCAACTCAATGCGGTGATATCCCCCGATTTAGGCACTCGACGCTACATGTTGAATAGCACCAAGTGTGGCAAAGAAATGGGGTTACACAAACTTGACCGAGGCCGGGATTCGAACCCACGTCACTTGCGTAGACGCAGCGATTCTGACCACGGAACCAAACGCGATAACATGTTAGGTAACGGAATTAGTAGCACCATGGTAAGTTTACATCCGAACGTGACGTCATTCAGCTACATAAGTTTGCGACAAAAAATATGACAAGAAAAAAAGGTTTAAGAACTCGGGTAAAGAAAAAAATATGTCAAGAGATAGGCAATAAGTTGTTAGCCAAGGCGCAGATCACCGACTTTTAGTTGGGTCGGATGTGATGTATGAAATCACTATGGAGATGTATTATGAAAGTGCGCACATTACACTGATTTGGTATCGGCCGATTCTACATACAAATTTGAATTGGGCCTAACTATCGGCCAACTAAAAATCATGGTCTGCGCCTAGGCTTACGTTGTACATTTTTTGCCCACTAAGGGTGTCACGAACGCTGACTTTACCAACAAAAAATATTATTATTTGCATTAAAAATACTGACCCCATCGAGAACATCTCCTGCGACTGCGTAGACTTTGTCGTTCCACTCGCCCTTGTAGATGGTCACCTCATCGATCCCGAAGATGTCGTCTAAAATTAACAATTTATCAATTAAAATTACAAGTTAAAAACATCTTCATCATCATCATCATCATCACCATCATGTCAGCCATAGGACGTCCACTGCTGAACATAGGCCTCCCCTAATGCTTTCCACGTTGATCGATTGGTAGCGGCCTGCATCCAGCGCTTCCCTGCTACCTTTACGATGTCGTTACTAAAAACATCTTAATAGAGGACAATTATCTATTATAAGGCAATCATTTGTATCATACTGCTGTGCAGAAACATAGCACAGGCTATGAATGGATTAGGGTGAACTTATCAAAAGCGCCCGACTGTAGTAGAGCCGACAGGGAGCGTTTGAAGATCTCATTTTTCGGCGACATGAAGGCCATTTACTCAATTCAATTAATTTCCTCTAACAATTTTTTTGAGATATCTGCTCTAGAAAGACTGTAATTTAAAAAAAAAGGAAGAACTACAAAACAAAGGTAATATTTTGAGACAAATAGTAATGTAAGTCACATTCCTCATATTAATCACCATTTACTTATTGTCAATCTAAAAATTATTGAGGCCTATGTTCGGCACAGGACTTTTCCCACCTCTCTTTCCCACCCCTGCAACTCCTGTGTAGCCAGATCTACAGCTTGACCGCCAATAAAAACCCAACCAATGAAGGTCAAGTTTGTCCCGGCGGAAAGTTTAAACTGTCATTGGACCCGCAACAAAATTAATCAGAAGAACATAGGAGGAGTTTGAAGTTAAGGTTCGACTTCCCTCCAATTCATAAAACCAATTGCGAACATTTAAAATAAAGTTTGTTTACAATTTGACAGCAATAGACTGACATGCAAGGTGACATGTCAATGAAGTTTTCAGTTACTGTTGCCATTAAAAGAAATTAGTACCATTAGTTTTCCGCAACATGGCGAGGGTTTTTATGTTCCTGGTCAGGCTATAACAAAAAATAACAATAACAAAGTTCATTTATATAATTAGAAAAAACAAATATGTATCAACTTTAATTCTTATTTCAAAACAAAAACAAATATGTAACTAGTTTTCAAATAAAATTATTAAGTTCTGTATAAAGTTTAATGTTACAAAAAAAGTTAGTATTTTCATGTTGCACATCATCGAATATTTCCCACACAGTATCGGAAATCGACTTCAATTCAATGCGGTGATATCCCCCGATTTAGGCACTCGACGCTACATGTTGAATAGCACCAAGTGTGGCAAAGAAATGGGGTTACACAAACTTGACCGAGGCCGGGATTCGAACCCGCGTCACTTGCGTAGGCGCAAAGATTCTGACCACGGAACCAAACGCGATAACGTGTAAAGCGACGGAATTAGTACCACCATGGTAAGTTTACTAAAAGTGACGTCATCCGGCAACATAAGCTTGCGACAAAAAATATGACGAAGAAAAAAGGTCGACCAAGATTTAAGGACTCAGGTAAAGAAAAAAATATATGTCAAGAAATATTTACAAGATAGTACAGTCAGCGTCAAATATTTTGTGACACTCAGTAACCAATAAGTTTAATAGTTTAAGCACGTCTTTGGTATGTTGTAAATTTGCCCACTTTTTGTGTCACAAACGCTGACTTTACCAACAAAAAATATTATTATTTGCATTAAAAATACTGACCCCATCGAGAACATCTCCCGCGACTGCGTAGACTTTGTCGTTCCACTCGCCCTTGTAGATGGTCACCTCATCGATCCCGAAGATGTCGTCTAAAATTAACAATTTATCAATTAAAATTACACGTTAAAACATCTTAATAGAGGACAATTATGTTTTGTTAGGTAGATCATATTTTGTATCATACTGCTGTGAAGAAACATAGCACAGGATAAGAATGTTAAATATTTATAATAGTCAGCCAGTCAATGTGTCATCAATGCTCAAAAAAGATAGGATTTGGATTAGGGTGAACTTAGCCATAGAGCCGACAGGGAGCGTTTGAAGGTCTCATTTTTCGGTTTTTTTATTATATCTCGGAAACTTCAATTAATTTACTATAACCTTTTTTCGAGATATCTGCTTTAGAAAGACTGTAATTTAAAAAAAAAAGGAAGAACAAACAACTACAAAACAAAGGTAATATTTTGAGACAAATAGTAATGTAAGTCACATTCCTCATATTAATCACCATTTACTTATTGTCAATCTAAAAATTATAGAGGCCTATGTTCGGCACAGGACTTTTCCCACCTCTCTTTCCCACCCCTGCAACTCCTGTGTAGCCAGATCTACAGCTTGACCGCCAATAAAAACCCAACCAGTGAAGGTCAAGTTTGTCCCGGCGGAAAGTTTAAACTGTCATTGGACCCGCAACAAAATTAATCAGAACATAGGAGGAGTTCGAAGTTAAGGTTCGACTTCCCTTCGTTGCAAAGTGGATGACAGGTGACAAACAATGGTTTAGTAACNGAAGTTAAGGTTCGACTTCCCTCCGTTGCAAAGTGGATGACAGGTGACAAACAAGGGTTTAGTAACCTTTATGAAAAGATATGCACCACGGACAACAAACATTAATTAAGGCCTATCTTATGAGCTACTAGCTTTCCGCCGCTTTAAAATTTTGTCTGTCACAGAAAAACTTTATCGCGCGCGTCTCTGTTTCAAAAACCGGGATAAAACTATCTATGTCCTTTCCCGGGACTCAAACTATCTTTAAGCCTAATTTCATCAAAATCAGTTCAGTGGTTTAGGCGTGAAAGCGAGACAGACAGACAGAGTTACTTTCTTAACTTACATTTATAATATCTACTATATAAAAACAAGTCGGGTTTTCCTCCCTGACGCTATAACTCCAGAACGCACGAACCGATTTCCTCAGTTTTGCATTCGTTGGAAAGGTCTCGGGCTCCGTGAGGTTTATAGCAAAGAAAATTCGGGAAAAGGGGGTAAAACGGGATCCACGCGTACGAAGTCGCGGGCGGCCGCTAGTTATAGTATAGATTAGCTACCTGCCACAAAATTGCTTAAAAAAGCACGGAAATTTTACATAGTTTCAGTTCCTGTGGCTGAAATGAAGTTGCTGCTTCACTTACTGTACTCATCGCCAGCAGTCGGCGGGGGCTCTTGCAGGAAGGAGCACGTGAAGCCGAGCGTTGTGTCCCCGCGGACCAGGTCCACCTCGAACTGCGGCTTGGAGCGCATCTCGGCGAACTCCTGCTTCTCCGGCTGGGCGTCTCCCTCGAAGTCGTCGGAGTCCACCGTGTGGTTCACGTTGAATGTTATTCGTACTCTGAAATGTGTGAAATCAATTTATTCGATTTATATCCTTGAATATTATTTTGGCCTGCTTAAAGAAAAATATTAGGTAGAAGCAGCCAGCACAGCCCAGCAGCTTTTATCAGATTTGATTTGATTAGATTTCAGCTTTCATCAATCTTTATTTATACTGAGGAAACAACAATTTGACTCCTAATCAAAAGACAAAATATGGTTGTGGTGTCTAATGTTTAATCACTAGTTAAAATAAAGTATCAGAGTATAAACAGGGTGGTCTACAAGATATCCTTTTTATTTTTAACACATGCTATTATTAGATTTGAGAGTCACAAGTTGAATGAAAATAGAATTCACTGCTTCAGCCAGTGAGACAACTAAGGTTCAATAAAATTGGTTTTGATTTTTTGAAAAAAATTATTTTGATTGGCTGCTGTAAATGTTCTATGTTAAATGCAAGATTCCTCTGTGCATGAGGATTCTGGGTTAAGATTGTTTCCAATTTTGGCCTGATCATCATTTTTCATGTGAGATGCAGGCCAAGAGCTTCCTGCCTGAAAATGGTTAAAAAAAATTACTGATGAGAAAAATATTCCTTAAACTTACAATTCATCTTGCAGTTTCTTGGTGAGGACTACTTCTGCTCCGTCTCCCTTCACTGCAAAGCCCTCCACCTCGGCGGGCAGGGCCTTTGTCTTCTGTGCCTTTCGCTCTGCCACAATCTCCTCGGTGAGGAACTCCACTAATTCCCTCTCACCTGAATAGAGGATGAGTGGTGTAAAAACTTTACTTTGTATTGAAATGCACTTAATTTTTTCACATTGAATTTTGTAACTAATCTAGCTCTGCTAAGCTTGTGTTGTGATTTTATCTATGGTGACTAGAAGACAGAATAACTGGGAACTTAATATTCATTATGTGCAGTATAAGTTACAACCCATACCTCAGTACTCTTCTTACTCTATATAAAATGCTAAATTCTATTTACTACTACAGTAAACTTATTTGTCTCATATTTTAATGCAGAAATTAAACACATTGTTTAGTCTCTGGATGTGAATATGATGTTAATGTACCCTGTATTTGGCGCTGGACCTCTTCTGGAGATGAAGAGTCCAGTGTGGCAGAATTATACAGGGAAATATTGAAAGCCGATTGAATAAATTAAACCAGAACTAATTAATTACAACAATATACAATACAAGACTAAAATTTTTGATACTTTTTCATTTATGGTTCATATAAATGGATATGGGAAGGAGGTATAGGAGAGAAGGATAGGGACTCACCAATAGCTTTGGTTTTGGTAGGTTCATTGTCTTTATCGGCTAGAAAATAAATATTTATTATTAGTTTTACAAAGTACACATAAGAATTGATGTTATACTGGAGATCAACATGTATTATCCATAAAAGCCTTGCATGGTGCAATCACATAACCTATAAAAGTACAGGTTAGGTTACCTTTTGTGTGGAGCGCCTTCAAGCCGCAGCCGCAGCTGCATGTGTTGGAATGGTTGTGGAGCAAGCTGGAGGCAGCTGGCGGCCCATCTAGCCTCTTTGAACAGCTCATGTGCCATATTCCTCGCGTGAAATCACGTTTCACTGGGGTCTGAGAACGCGATACTAAAGCCCCGGTCAGACCGGTATGCTTGACGCAACTTTGTATAACTCTGTGCGCGGTTTTTACTAAACCGTTCATTTTTGATAATTAGCAGCAAAACAATGCGCTTTTACAGAAAATTATTCGAAAATTTGACAAAGAAATAGAACGCTACAGGCTCACAGACAGGAATTATCTGTGTTGCCAGAAATAAAAAAACATACTGTCAATGAACGAATGACAAATTACTTGTACTGAGCTATAGCTCAGTATAATTTAGTTCCAAAATCACTAGTATCATACTAGATCATATCACTTTATGCGCGTTACTAGTGTCGGACACCTTGTCATCTGTCAATGTCAAATCAATTCTGTCACATTCACGTGTGCAAGTTGTGGATTTAAATTTTGTTTTTCACTGAATTTATCCCCTTTATCGCCATGGGTAAAAAGCGAAAGCTGGAAACGAAACCACAGGAGGCCCAAAAGTCTTCACCGGTAGAAGTTATTGTTGAGGATTTGGATTCACACCCGTTGTGCCTGCATGGACCTACGCTGCTGTTTTCTAGTGAAAAAGGCCGATATTTTGCCTGCTCTCTGTGTCGGAGCAAGAAGGACTGTACAGTGCACATTGACGAGGAAGATTGGCAGAAAGAAAATGTCAAGAAGAGGAACGAAAAGTACTACAGCTTAATTCCCAAACTTGATAAGGGTTCAGCATGGAGCAATTTGAAAGAGGTTATTAATTTATCATTTGATAAGAACACTTCACAATTACATTATTATTGACTATCTGCATTATATTATAAACTTTCTTCATACTTTTAAAACATTTGTGATTGAGTTTCCTCATGTGTGTGAGTGAGCTCATAGCAAAATAATTTTGAATTTCCAGGTGAAATCTCGGCATTCATCAGATAGAGCATACTGCAACACCTGCCAAGAGCTGTACATAGTGTCACAGAGCAGGAAACACATCAAAGACCACAGAGTCATCACTCCCTTGTCTGATGAACAGTTGGCGAACGCAACAACATGGTTGCCAGCATTAGACAATGACACCGTTGAAGCCCAGTACTTGTTTAGCAAGAAGTCTGTCAGCACTGTTCTTGGCATTCTTGAAAATAATGATATCAAGTAAGTTCCATATTTATTTCTGTTACAAATTAAACTTTTATGCTGAGTTGCACCATCTAACTTTAACTGTAACTATAATGATAACCTGTGTTTTTTGTATGGAGTTTGACAGATTTTTGATGTCTTTTTAAAGTCATGTAAGAAAGACATGGTAGAAAGGACAACCTAGAATCAATAAAAAAATCTTTGAATAAGATTACATAAGTGCCACTTGTGGTCTAAACTGAATAAATATTTTTGATTTTGATTTTTGTAAATCTGATAATTTTTTCAGAAACATTCTATGCATTGGTACTCCATCTATCCATGAGGCAGCCCAGGCTGATCCTAGGCTCAACTCGATACTGTTGGACTTTGATGCAAGACATGCCCTGTTTAATCACCCTGGAAAGTTCCTGTGGTACAATATGTTCAATAACTACTTGTTCAATGGCAATGATGATGAGAAGGTGCTTAAGAAGTTCTTCAAGAGTTCCAGGTAAGAAAATTATTGATAAAATGATAAAAACAATACAACTTAGTTTTCACAAATACAGTCAAAGGCATCAATGATTAGTTCTTTTCATGGTGAAATGTATTTGAAGTCTCCAACACAGGGTTGAAAAAGATTGTTTTTATCAAAACTTTTTTTTAAATATGGATTTTTTTGTATTTAATTTTGCAATAATTGCCTTTTCATTAATCCCATTTTCGGATATTGATTTAAAATTTTAAATCAGTGATTTTTATTAAAAAATCATGCAAATAAAATCTGTCTGTCTGTCTCCTTCTGACGCAGTTGGGTAATGATAATCTTAGCATTAAAATGCCAAACAACCAATTAATTAACATAAATAAATTAATTTTTACGAAACATTACAGGGAAGGTGGCTTATGTGTAGTGATAGATCCTCCATTTGGTGGCCGTGTGGAACCACTAGTGCATACCTTGAAGGAGCTCTCGGCCACATACAGAAGGCTGTGTGATAAACCTGACAATGAATGTCTACCGGTGCTCTGGGCTTTCCCTTACTTTGCAGAGCCCTACATTAGGAACATCTTGCCAGAAATGAAGATGCATGATTACCAGGTATTTAAATTTTTAGAGCAATGAACACCAGTCTTTTTTTTGTCTGCTCAATTACTAATAATTTCTTTTGTTTTAAGATTGAATATGAAAACCACAAGAAATTCCACAACAAAGCAAAGGGTCGTAAATTTGGATCTCCAGTTCGTTTCTTCACCAACCTCCCATTGCTTACAATTGATTTATCCAATGACAAGAACTACAAACTGTGTGATAAGTGCAAGTACTGGGTGTCTGCAACCAATAAACATTGTGGCAAATGCAAGGAGTGTACGAGCAAGAACGGAATGACGTATAAACATTGTAATACTTGTCAACGATGCGTGAAGCCGACGTTCTTCCACTGTGAAGAGTGTGGGAGATGTTGCCAACAGAAGGGTCATGTTTGTGGTGTGGTTGTGGAGAGCCAGGTAAACATTTTTTCTTCTTTAATTTCAAACAGAATCTTCATTTTTTCACTTTATTGAATTTTCTAGATTTACTTTTTACTTTTATTTTTAAAAGAATTGCAGATGATCTATCCTGTGCTTTTTCATTAAAATTGTTTGGCAATTCTGTTTTAATTGTAATTATTTGTTTACAGTCTTGCTACAACTGCCATGAAAAAGGCCACAAGAAATCAAATTGCCCACAACTTGAAGGGACCCCTAAGAAAAAAAAGAAGAGAGTTCATGCGTAATGATTTATTTACAACAATAAAAAATCTCTAAGACCCACTTCTTTCATTTCAATCATCATTGTCAATCAATATACATCCTCATGATTCTTGATTTATAATTATAAAACTCTTCATAAATCAATGTAAGTAAAATATCACTCTAAAATCTTCACTTAATTTACTAAAAGCGTAATTTTCACAGCATTGTTTATTATAGGGCACTGTAACAAAAAATAACAATTATATTTTTCGCACAATCCAACTCCATTAGGGGTTGACTGAAAGAGTGACAACAGTATAATTATACTTTTTTGATTAGGTATGTAGATATTGTGCAATAATTTAGAATTCTATGAAAAGTGCAATATTATCCATTTACAATAATAAGGTTTAATAGTGGGTTCACTCCCGCGCCGATTCCGTCGAGCTTGTAGATTCAGTAATTAATTCACAAAAAAACCGATTGGCTATGAATAGTCACAATGGTATAGATGAACTACAACAACAAACTGTCCCACCCGAACATTGACAAGGGGTCAGTACTGGATCGCTGGTTCCGATTTTTGCCACGTTGGAAACTAGCTGAACGATGGTGGCGCCCCGCTGTCAATGTGTTTGGTGGGACAGTTCAGTGTAGTTTATCTATATCTATCTATACTATTGAGTATAGACTTCTAATTGCCGTGCCCTACAGGGCCCATAATGTTCTAAATTTTAAGTACATAATGGATGCAATAAAATATTGAGTAAAGCCTGGTCCGTGAGCACGTAGAATCCAAGCTACCCATCCTTATCGTTCGCGCGTAATTATATTGCTGTCGCGACTGTGCGACGCGCGCCCGCAGTGAGTGTGCGAGCGCGACAGCAACATAATTACTTGCGAGCGACAAGGATGGGCAGCTTGGGGTCATTGGACGGGATTCTACGTGCTCACGGACCAGGTTTTAGACTATACTCACTTGATATTGATCTTGTTGAGCACGTTCTGCGCGGCGTCATATCGTGCCTCGACACGCTGCGCCTGGTCCAGCCAGGCCTGGCGCACCGCCGCCCAGCGCGCGCCGTGCCAGCGGAGCAGCTGCTCGCGGCTCGGAGGCGGCGCTTCTCGCTGGAACCCAGAGGATATTCTTAGCTCGTTATCATCACCAGGTCCCCTAGACCAGGGGTCTCCAAACTTTGAAGCCTTGGGGCCATATTTAATTTTTTCGGTATGTTGCAAGGGCCATAACAATTTTAATTTTTCTGTCCATCTATGCAAACATAGGCTTAGTCTTAAGCTGTCGCGCGCGGGCCGTAGTTTGGAGACCCCTGTCCTAGAAATCTAAGTAAATCGAATAGGGGCCATGCCAGGAGGAGGGGGTACTCGGTGATGAAACATATTTAGTTTAGCCATCATTATCATTAGCTCCCCTAGCCTAAGTAACATTCTTGAAGGATAGGTTATGCTTTTGGCTTATTAGTTAACATTTTCGATTGCATGAATTACTTTCGTGGAAAACAGTAAGCTATGTGTTATCTTGTCACACCACTTAATTACATTGTTTGTGCACTTATTATCATTAATTAGGTACAAAATAAAAAAAAAATAAAAATCAAAAATATTTATTCAGTTTAGACCACAAGTGGCATTTATGAACGTCAAAATGTAAATAATAAAAAAAGAAAAGGTAGCCCTTATAGGCCACTTTACATGTCTCCTTATCTTTTAGGCACATACCTTACTCATACATTACGGATCACCTGATGGTAAGTAACCATCAGGTGATCCGTCTGCTCGTTTGCCTCCTATCACATTAAAAAAAAACCTATATGTACCCGAGGACTATGACTTTAAAGAAACATAAATTTTATTTACTTACATAGTTAAGATTGATGTTATCCTTATTTCGAGCCTTCTGTTCTGGTAGTAGCTCTGGGATCCGGCTGACAGGTGGCCCCTCGGGTCCAGGTAACTCAACACTTTCTTCAGTCTGTTCAGGTTCTTCATAACTTTGCCTATTGGAAGTAAAATAAACAAACAAAATATTCACAAAACAGAATTATAGTAACAAGACATGGTAAAAAGATCATGCTGAGAAAGAATAATCATTTACCTAAGTTGCTAAATAGCAACAAAAATTATTTAAAAATTGCTAGGATACCACTAATGTCCCAGAATAATATTACACAGTTAAAATACATCTTTAATTTACCCAAAGTTCTCATAATTTTCCTTGGGCTGGTTGATCATCCAGGCTCTGCATATGGGGTATAGCGGAGAGTTTTCTTCAAACTGCGATAAGTCTACGCTCCTGTCGAAGAGCTTCAGCACGTATGATTGGCGGACTGGAGACTTCCTCCTTGGTGTATATTCCTCTTCTGAATCTTTCTTTTCCTGTCTGAGGATGCAAAATGTAAGAAAGTAAAATTATTAAAATCATCATTAAACGGTAAAATTAACTAACTTGACGGGTACATGATAAAAAAAAAAAATAAGGTGTATAAGACATAGAAATAGAAATCTTTGGACAATTTCACACAGCGCCAGGTAGCCCCAAAGTAAGCAACTTAATGCTTGTGTTATGGGTGCTAGCTTAACGAATATACTACTTATATACTTTTTTTTTTAATACATAAATATTATACATAGTCACACCCAGACCCGTCACAGAAATTAAAATTCATCATTTCAATTTCTGCCCGGCCGGGAATCGAACCCGGGACCTCTCGGCATAGTAGTCCGTTCTGAACCACTACACCAAACGGCCGACAAACCTCTATCACTGAACCACTACACCAAACAAGTCTTTAAAAATGATCTTTCTCTTAATTTACAACTTACCTTTCTTTCTTGGTTGGAGAGGGCTCGTATGACTCATCAGATTCTTCAGCAGGAGGGTCGAGCACCTCCAATAGGGCTCCTTTGAGACGCCCCCGAGCTGTAGATACTTCTTTATCTCCTGGAATTATTTTTCTTATTTATTAGTAGNCGTAATCCTGAATCCTGATACATAATTTAACACATGTACGACTGTACTCAGTGTTGCACTATCAAATGCAATTGAAGCGCCTCTATGCCAGGGTTTTTATGTTCCTGGTCAGGCTATAACAAGACTTGGAATAAACAGGTCATGCTGAGAATTTACTTTCACTGTTACACAATTTTTAATATTGTAACTAATCATTCACACAAGTTGCTAAATTGCAACAAAAATTAATTAAAAATTGCTAGGATACCTCTCATTTTCCAGAATAATATTACATTAAATACATAGTTAAGTTACCCAAAGTTCTCATAATTTTCCTTGGGCTGGTTGATCATCCAGGCTCTGCATATGGGGTAGAGCGGAGAGTTTTCTTCAAACTGAGATAAATCTACACTCCGGTCGAAAAGCTTCAGCACATATGATTGGCGGACTGGAGACTTCCTCCTTGGTGTATATTCCTCTTCTGAATCTTTCTTTTCCTGTCTGAGGATGCAAAATGTAGGTAAGTAAAATTATTAAAATCATCATTAACACGTTGGATGCCACGCGGCTCACCGGTGAGCCTCGAACAATACAATTTCCATTGTGTCTAGCATCTCGGCGTTCAATGACTTAAACGGTAAAATTAACTAACTTGATGGGTACATGATAAAAACAAATCTTTAAAAATGATATTTTTCTTACTTTAAAACTTACCTTTCTTTCTTGGTTGGAGAGGGCTCGTATGACTCATCAGATTCTTCAGCAGGAGGGTCAAGCACCTCCAATAGGGCACCTTTGAGACGCCCCCGAGCTGTAGATACTTCTTTATCTCCTGAAATTATTTTTCTTATTTATTAGTAGAGAAATACAACTGGATGTAGAGTGATTGTGATCAAAATCAAAAAAATAAAAAATATTTGTTCAGTTTAGAACACAAGTGGCACTTATGAACGTCAATAGAAAATAATAAAAAAGAAAAGGTAGCCCTTATGGGGCACTTTACATGTCTCCTTATCTTTTGGTCCCTACCAGCGCTTCGAGACAAACATATGGAAAATTGCATGATCAAATTGTAGAGTTCCACTAGAAGTTGTAAATATTTTTGTTATTGTCAGTAGGATGATGAACTTGCTGCAAGTTATTTTTAAGTTGATAATTTTAATAGCTACTGTGAATGAACTGGCCATTATGTATTATTAATGGCTTGGTAGAGTTAAGCCAGACCTAATTGAATTATACGTTTTTGGGCATTTCTTTATTATTACGCAAACAATGACGAATTGTAATGCGAGGCAACTTTCACTTGGTGGCACGTTTAAGATCGTAACTGTATTAACATACTACGTGACCTATTCCTAAATACTTAAGTAAAGTGTATATTGGTGATTTTTATAAAATAAGTTCGCTTTTATTAAAAATTCTAATAAAAAAATACATTGTACAAACCTTTGTCTTCATTTTCTTCCTCAATAATTTCTTTTTGGACGACTTGTTTAGCTGCTTTTTTGGATGGGGTTAATAATCTCCTACTCCGTTTTGGCATTGTAAAAGTAATCACACTAATTAAAACAAATGAAATGTAAATGTAGCCAAAAACACTAGAACGAAAGNCGAGACGGAAACCAAGAAAATAAATTTTGAATTGATTTTTGATCTGTCAAGCTAGCGTCAGATCCACAGATGAAAGAAAATCAGTAATGCCACAACTGTAAAAAAAACATAGTGTTGTTCTATTTGAGCTCAATCACAGGATAGCTATCAAACATTCCTCCTACATCAGATACTAGTTCCGAAATAACTTTAAATCATTCGTTCTCGTAATGCATTATTTGTTGTCAAAAAGAAATCTTGTTTGTACCCTCATTCATTCGCTCAATCTTGGGCGAAATGTCAAAGTAGTTGTAAACGAAAATAGAACAAAAATCAAGAAAATCTGCAATTTTGCACGTACATTCAGAAATTCCCGCTAGATTAGTGAAAAACTCATAAGTGAGTCCATGTGTAGTTATGGCGACGACGGCGTATGAACACGACGCCGATGGTGAGTGTACAAAGGCACGGTCTTTTTGGTTTCTCACTGAAATGCTAACATATTGCTGTTCCCTCGCTCCCAGTAAAGAATTTCGACTGAAGAACTTTTCATTCGTTGCTTGCACGCGGAGTAAATGATCGTTCCGATCCAGTTAACTCATGAATTGCTAATTATCAAAGAAGCTATCATTATCAATACGTACTTTAATGATTAATTAATCGTGTTTTTGTGGTCGTGCTGGTTATTAACTTGTGGTTAATTGAACCTGTTAAAGGTTGATTATGTGTTTCAGGATGTAAGTTTATCCCAGCCACCCAAAGACCAGACGGAACATGGCGCAAGCCGCGCCGCGTTAAGGAGGGCTACGTACCGCAGGATGAAGTGCCCCTGTACGAGAGCAAAGGCAAGCAGTTCAAGGCGCGGCAGAGCACGGGACTGCCTGTGGGACTAACTCCAGAAATTGTGGCTGCTGCCCAGAAACCCAAAAAGAGCCAGAGTGGCACTATTCAGCCAATACCAGGCATGATTATCAATGTTGAGAAAAAGAAGAAGAAAAAGAAGACAGGTATGTAACATACTTACTTTTCATTTAGGAAGTTTCAAAAACTTGTTGTCAAGTATTTTTACTCTTCTTGTTATTTCAGGAGCTGACGAGGCAGCCGAGAGACTTGCCAAGTGTGAAATCATAGAGCCAACTTTCAACACACCTTCCCCATCTAGTAATACCCCTTCCACGCAGACAGACCCTGCCAAGCGTCTTAAAAACTTGAGAAAGAAGCTCCGGGACATAGAATACCTTGAAGAGAAAATCAAATCTGGTCTCCTCAAGAACCCTGACAAAGATCAGGCTGAAAAAATGTCAAAAAAGGGTGACATTATAAAAGAAATAGAAATTTTAGAAACTCAAACTAGTTAATAGCAAGCCAAATTAAAATTGAATTTATTAAAATGAAATCATGTCTATTGGTTTTTATTATGTTGTCTTGTAAGTGTGGGTGAGAAGTGATGAAATGTTCTTTTAAATATAAATTATTTACTAACAAACGTCTGTTTTTTATTGGGATTTCAGGGATTTAGATAGGTAGATCTATCTTCGGAAATGCAAAACAAAACCTCAAATTATTGTAAAGGTGGTTTAATTAACCTCATACATAATTGGTAATAATATTTAAAAATAATCACAATTTCTTATGACATCTACTATGCTTAAAAATAATATTCGAATATAAGTGGCATATTTCCATTTTGCTATCATCAAATTTTAATACAATAAGTGAGGGTAGATCCTTTAGCCCCTTGTGCACTTCACATCTGAAAAAAATTAAAAACTTAGTCCAAATAATGATTTATGTAGGCAGTAAGAAAAAAAGATTCCACTGATCAAGCATCAAGGTCAGTTTGGTACTCACCTACACTACAGCGATTATTTAGATGAACTCGTTCCTGGCTTTTTGTCGTGCGTAGTTGCCTAAACACGCAAGAATACCTATAACTGCAATACCCAGGCCCAACACCGTGGCCAAAAAGTCGCCGAAGTCATATCCGTGGGAGGCTTCAACGTTGCTAATGCTAATTAGCGCAAATACTAAAACAAGTAACTTTAAATACATTTTTGTTGAAAAGTTAGGAAGCAAAAATCAGACGACTCGCAAAGTTNAAATAACTAAGCTTAAAATTGAGTTTTTTTTTTAGTTAAACTACGTTAGAATTTGATTTTTCCACTTAAACACCTGAAACACGTGTTGCCACTGTCACATGCGGCGAGCGACCCCCGACTCGCAAAGTTTGTTTGATGATAAGATGAGGTGTCAAAAAACTGACAATGAGAGCTGTCAAATTAACAAAAAAAAACCGTAAAAAACCGTCCACTAAAGCTTAGTTTTCACTCTCAAATCTTTTTCAAAAATGGTAAAAGTATCGTATCGGGATATCAAAATTCTCTCCTCTACACTATTATTCCGATAGCATTATTTTGAACTGATGCATGCACATCACATGCAATTCACGCAAACGGCGTTTCTAAAATATAGTGATCTGTGTTTCTAAATTGGGTTCAACTTTTGTGTGTATCGCAGTGTGTATCTCATCATTCGCATCTGTATCGCTAATGCTCGTCGACAGTGCGCTTTAATACGTTCGAGTATAGGAAAAAAAGCGCATCGCGCGCCGTGTTGGTGCGTATAGGCGCTAAAGATTTTATTCTAAAATTCGACTCGACTAAGTATGTATAATCGAATAAGAAGTCTGCACTGCACCCTTCTATCTGTCAATAATCTATGCTGTGACCTGTCAAATACGCGAAAAATGACAGATGACAGCGTTGGTGCATTGTAAATTTTGTCAATAGTCTAATCGGCAAAAAATTGCTAATTATCTGTTTCTCTGCAAGATTTTATAAGATCGTTATGTTTTCTTAGTTAAATAGCTATCATTACATGTATTTAGGATAGTTTAGTGGCTATGAACTCAGAGTAAACACTGTCGCTAATAACCTCAATATTTTGATGTAAATTGACTTTGGTGTTATATTAATTTCCCGCGATGAGTGGCGGCAAGGGGTTTGGGTTCGCTGGGTTCACGATGCCCAAGCGGAACCCTTCGAACGTGTCCCTGCACGCTGTCCCTCCGCCGTCGGCTTCTATGCACGCCGTGCCGCCCCCCACAGCGGGGCTATCCAAACAGGGCTACTCGACCATGACTTCTATCACTCAGAACGCTGTCACGGGCAACTGGGGCAGTTTAGGGAAGAAACGATCTAAAACAGAGGACGAGTAAGTTGGAATATTTGCATTTGTGTGTGCAACTTGTGTTTAAAGTAGGATTGTTCAGTTTTGTGCTTGTAAACATGAATACGCTTTAGTATGGGAGGATCTTACTTCTTTAACCTTTCCAAGTAACAAATGCTATCAAACAAATAAGTAAAGTCTGTTATCTCTACCAATACACACATAAAAGCTCACAAAGCATCACATATAACCTGTTTTGTGCAGGTACTTTGATGAAGATGATGAGCCTGCTACTCCAGCGTTAGCATACATACCAGCTCCAGGCAGTCCTTCTTATGAAGCTGCATCCAGTTCTAAGGTAATCACAATTCCATAACTGTTCATATATAAAATAAACTCAATGGCAAGTAAAAATTTGGGTTGGATTTAGAATCAAGTCGCCTGAATTTGAGGATACTGGATATACAGGGTGGAATTTCGTAATGCCACCTGGAGGGAAAGTACTCTTAATACTGTAGATAGAAAATTTTACTGAAAGAAAACATTCCTTTATTTTTGAAAAGAAAGAAAACTGCATTCAAAGATATTAATTTTTTTTTCGAAAATTCACTACCATACCATACAATTTTCTGTTCAAAATTAAAATGATTTAAGATTTCATGGTTTTCCTTTCATGTGATTTCCAAGTTTGTTAGAGAGATTTCATCCTTATACTTAACCCAATCTATTGATGCAATAAAAATATTTACAGGGTGTAATTTTGTAACACTTTATAGTTGGTTCGATTCCCGGGTGTGGTAAGCAAATTTTTGGAAATCTTTGAATGTAGTTCTATTTCTTTCATAAATAAAGGAATGATTTCTTTGAGAAAAAATTTCTATCTACAATATTAAGAGTAAGTACTTTCCTTTCAGGTGGCATTATAAAATTCCACTCTGTATAGGGGGCTTAAGGGGTGTTTTACACCCCCAAGTGATTTTGGGCGTCATAGTTGACTCCCCTTACCCCCCACCCGGGTGATAGAGGGTGCACCCTCTGCAACACCCTAAAAAGGCGACTTGATTCTTAATTTTTGCCAAAATATTTGGTAATCTGTGTAGAATTAAGACTAAATTTAAAACAAAAAAATACTTTTACGTCTGAAATGTCAGCCTGTATGAGGTGGGCGCTAACAACTGCGACACAGTCCTCGACTAATGCAGTTGCTAACGCAACAATGTTTGTGCATGTAAGTGTTTTTGTTGCCAATAAAGACTTATTTATTATTATTTTATTACTAGCTGACCCAGCGAACTTCGTACTGCCTTAGCGTAGAGATTTTCTTTATATTTTTTTCCGTAAAAAACTTGTACAGAGTATTAGAAAACTACAAAAAAAAATCAGCCAAATCGGTCAGGCCGTTTTCGTTTTATGTCGTGACAACGGAAAATGGGTTTCATTTTTATATATATAGATTATTTGTAATCTCAGCCTGACGAGGATGAAGAAGATCCTTTGGACGCCTTCATGGCGGGGCTGGAGCAGCAGGCGGCCAAGGACCTGGTGGCCAGCAAGGAGAACGAGGCCAGCGGCAAGAGCGACAGCGGCCGGGGCACTCGGGGAGACATTGATGAGTTGGACGATGAAGAGAGCTACTACAAGTTAGTCTTTTATTTTTTATACTAGATTTTGCTTTTCAATGAATTTTTCAGTGATGGTTGGAATATTTAATAAAAAAGATTTTGAATAAAAATGTTTTTTTCCAAGGCGATTATCACACTGCACCGCGCTCCGCCGCGGTACGCGGGACGACAGATTTAATCATTGTATGCAAGTACCTCAGTTTGTATAGACAACGCGTCTGCGCGCGGGATTTTTTATATGTAATCACGCGGACTGCGGCGGGACGCGGTGCAGTGTGATAATCGTCTAAATGTGAAAGTAATTATTTTGGAATGAAAATAATATTAAGGAATAATTTTAGATAAAACTTCAAACTATAAAATTGTTGGTTGTAGTCTAGTATAGGTTCTCAGTAACAATATTTCAAAATCAAATCAAAAATATTTTTATTGAGCCTTCCATTAATCTGACTTTTCTTAAACTTACAATTATTCTTGCAGATATATGGAAGAAAACCCTCTCAACACTGGTGATGATGGTTCAGACATAGAAATAGAATATGACGAGGATGGCAACCCCATAGCTCCCCCCAAAAAGAGGTTCATTGACCCACTACCTCCTATAGACCACTCGGAGATAGTATATGAGCCATTTGAAAAGAACTTCTATACTCCTCATGAGGATATTGAGAAACTTACCCCAGAGCAGGTTGAGGAACTCAAGAAGAATTTGGGAGTGAAGGTAAGAAAGAGCTAAGTTCGACATGGTGTTAGTCTTATTAATAGTTTTTTTTTTAAATAATTACTCTTAATTAATCTTCTCTATCTATAAAAGTGAAAGGTCACTGACTCACTCAGTCATCACGAAATCTCGGAAACTACAAGTGCTTGGAGGCTTAAATGTTTAATGGGGGTTCCTTTTAGAATGTAGGTGCTAACAGCTCACTAAGACGGGATTTTACGAAACTCCACTGCTAAGAGGGTAAAACGGGATCCACGCGTAACGTACGCGCGCGGGCGGCCGCTAGTAGTCAAATATTTGTTATACCCTGTTGGGTTTGGGTGCCCAACTTGAGTTTAATAAGTTTTGAATATCATGGTTTTAAATATCCAATAGGGACAGAGTCCCCAAGAAGATATTCATTAAATTGAAACCAAGCTCTTTATTGTCAACCTAAGAACTTTATCAACGATTTTAAACTGATAATTAACATAAAAAGTGTTTATTCGCAGAATATGCAAACAAAAGTTTAGCACCATTACTGATAATATGTGTTTATTATTTGACTAGATAACTGGCCCAGACCCGCCAAAGCCAGTGAGCAGTTTCGCCCATCTTGGCTTCGACGAGCAACTCATGAAGGCGATCAGGAAGTCTGAATACACGTCACCAACACCCATCCAGGCGGCTGGCGTGCCTGCGGCTTTGTCTGGCAGGGACCTTATAGGTATGGGACATAAGGTTCATATTGCTATAAATCATGTCACACTACAATGATCAGGAAGAAGGAATGGTTATCCAATTCGTATAATGACGGTTGTTCGCGGTGTGTTGTGTACTTGTGTTGTGCAATAGAGATATTAAAGTGTGCACTATGTATTAATATTGGACGATTTGTAAGCACCATGCATTAGAGAAATTTTGACTTTGTAGACATAGGATCATCTTGTAATAACACAGTTTTAGGAAGCCAGAACTCGTACACTCCTGCGCATTTATTGCGTCGTGTTTTTCTGTAGATACCTTATATGTATAAGGCACAAGAGTTATTTTGAAATGTAGTGTAGTTTAAACAAATAGCAATGTAGCAAACGATTCACAACAGCTACTACAGATAGGAATGCAATCATAACTATTAGTTGTCGCATTCTATTTTGAAATAAGAATGCAATTAGATGCGCACGCGATATGGTAATGAAACAGTCATCAACAGAAAGAAGAAGAAGAAGAATCAATTCCTGACTGTCACATTCTGGTTCTAAATCCGATTCAAATCCTTAGGTATTGCTCGCACGGGTTCCGGTAAGACAGCCGCGTTCCTTTGGCCACTTCTCATCCACATTATGGACCAGAAGGAACTGGCGCCGGGCGATGGACCCATAGGTCTTATACTGGCCCCTACCAGGGAATTGGCACAACAGGTAACCTTATGAAATTGGAAAAACTTCTTTTAAAATTTGCAAGACGTATAAAATGATTTATAATGTTTTTAATTAATAGTCATTACATTCACTCTCCTTTTGAAAGAGGTGTTAAATTCAGTTCATATTTAAACCCCGAATTCAACTGATTTCTAAACCCAGTCATTCATTATACATATTTTGCATTGATAAATATGTCGTTATATGTGTGCGTAAGCTCATTAGACTGTTGATTAGTTTTCATAAAAATAATATTTAATGACTAAATATTAAAACGCACTTTCTAGATTCAATCAATCAAAGTTTACTTTAATAAAATGCATTTTGCTTGTCAGATTTATATGGAAGCCAGAAGATTCGGCAAGGTGTACAACATACGATGCGTGTGTTGTTACGGTGGAGGCTCCAAATGGGAACAAACCAAAGCTTTGGAAGGTGAATTCACTATAATAATATGCTATTTACGGCCGATAAAGTTGCAGCGAATATTCTTAACGTTTGGTACAGATCTTTAGGCACTTTCATTGATATGGTATTATTTTTGTAGGTGGTGGAGCAGAGATTGTGGTGGGCACGCCGGGCCGTGTCATAGACTTAATCAAATGTAAGGCGACTAACTTGAAGAGAGTCACTTATTTAGTTCTCGATGAAGCCGACAGAATGTTCGACATGGGTTTCGGTAAGATTTCTATGGCACATTATATGGTTTATTTAGCATTAAATCTTTAAAAGTCTTGAATACAGATGATGATCAGGCCGCTACCAATCAGGTGATGTGGAAATCATTGGGGGAAGACTATGTTCAGCAGTAGACGTCCTGTGGCTGAAATGATGATAGGTGACCAAACTACATATTTGAATTTCAAGTTTAAGCTACACGTTGGGCGCCAAAATTTCAAAGTGGCGCCCAACGTGTGACTTTTTGAAATTTATTGTTTTTTGTATTAGAATGAAGTTGGTTAATCCTGGTTTAACGTTTATGCCCGTCAGTGCGTGCGTTAGATTTGCGCGCACGCCCAACACTGAAGTTGATTAATGTTTTCAATCGACTTATTGTCGTTTTTGGGTTGACATTAAGTTGGTTAATGTTTTGTGCTTATCGTTTGTGCTCAGAGCCTCAAGTGCGTTCGATCTGCGCGCACGTATGCTACACGTTGAGCGCTAAAATTGAAAAGTGGCGCCCAACGTGTGACCTTTTTAATTTGTCGTATCTGGATTATACTCAAGTTGTTTAATGCTAATGCCCGGTCCGTGAGCATGTAGAATTTTGTCCAATGACCTCAAGCTACCTATCCTTATCGCTCGCTCGTAATTATATTGCTGTCGCGACTGTGCGACGGGCGCCCGCAGTGAGTGTGCGAGCGCGTAACATAATTACGCGCGAGTGACAAGGATGGGTAGCTTGGGGTCATTGGACAAAATTCTACGTGCTCACAGACCAGACTATACCAACCGACTTGTAACATGAAGTTATTTGTCGTCGTTTTTGGGTAAACCTGAAGTTGGTTAATGTTCTTGCTTATTGTCTGTGCTCTTTAGAGTCTCAAGTGCGTTAGATCTGCGCGCACGTAAGCTACAGGTTGGGCGCCAAAATTATAAATGGCGCCCAACGTGTGACTAATAATTTTTTTTGGGGTTTAAACATGTAGTTGGTCAATGTTTGTTCTTATTTTCTGTGCCCTTTAGAGCCTCAAGTGCGTTCGATCTGCGCGCACGTAAGCTACAGGTTGGGCGCCAAAATTATAAATGGCGCCCAACGTGTGACTAATAATTTTTTTGGGGTTTAAACATGTAGTTGGTCAATGTTTGTTCTTTTTTTCTGTGCCCTTTAGAGCCTCAAGTGCGTTCGATCTGCGCGCACGTGCGTCCCGAGCGCCAAGCCCTGTTGTTCTCGGCGACGTTCCCGCNGGATTTAGCAATGTCTGCATATGACCTACGAACTGGCGCAAATTGGGAGGAGGCCTGGGAGTAGGAGATATTGTCCTGAGACATGGTGATCTTAATTGCCTTCTGCCGAGAGTGCTCTGGGCAGGACCTGTTTAATGCAAAATGGGGGCCCTGACAGTTAATACAAGTAGCTTTGTCTTCCGTAACTTGGCATTCCTCAGCGGAGTGTGGTTGAGTGCATCGGTAGCATCTTGGCTTGGACCGGCATTGAGACTTGACGTGGCCGAAACGACAGCAGTTCATGCATTGGATAGTTGGGAGCTGGTACGTCTCAACTGGTAATGAGTTGTGGAAGCAAAAGACTCTTTCCGGGAGAACTTGACCCTTAAATGTGACTACGACTGTTTGTGTGGGGACCCAGGAAGTTTGATTATCTTGAACTAGTTTCCTATTGAGACGGCGCGCCTTCAAAAGGATACCGCAGCCGTCTGGGGTAGTCAAGGATTCAGCGAGTTCGTCCATGGTCCAGTCTGTAGGGATATTTCGAATGAGGCCCATGCGGGTCACGTTATAAGTTGGGATGGAAGCTACATATTTGTACATGGACAAAATTTCATTACTAAGGAAATTGTTAGCAGCAGTGGATGAAAGAAATTCGACAGAAATCCTGTTTCTGCCAATTTTTTTGACTCCGTCTAAAATAATTCCCTGTATCTTGTTAGTCACAAGAAATTTGCCAAATCTCATGGGTTGTATATAAGCTGGGGAAGAAGGTTCATTTTCCACATGGGAAACGTGAACGATAAAGGGGCCTTTGTCCTGGTCGCTGTAGATTTTAGGAGCAATCACAAGTGAGGGATGTGTGTACACCGATTGATGATTTTGTGAAGATCCGTCTGTGTTTGTCCTCTTGGCGGGCTCGGAGTCAACCTCCGTATCTAGGCGGCGTTTAGTTGCCGTTTGGGAGAATAAGGGTTGGGAGACCTCCATTGTATCCGTCTGATCTGGAGGATCAGGCGGGTCGGGAGGACTAGGGTCCATTTTTGTTAAAACTTACCGAGAATAAATAAACTTATGTACCACCACCCTTGTTTTAGTAATAATTTAGCTTAAAATTGATTTTCTGTAAAAGATTACACTAGTAATTACACCAAAACTAATTGTTTTCCTGAAACACGTGTAGCCACTGACACTCGCGAGACGGAAAAAACATAAAATATGTCAAAAATGTGAAACGGTGCGGTGACATTAGTTTTTTTAATTTCGCTTGGACATTTTGGACAAGGCATTGGCATAATGAGATATACAGCCTGCAGCCTTCAGTAGCTAACCAAATGATGACATTCATGTAATTTGAAATTGGAACATGGAAGATTACCTACTTTTAAAATTAAAATCTTGCAAAAATAATTCCTACTTAGTTATTTGGAAATGTAAAGCCGAACCGAGCAAACGGGCGAGACAGTGCTCTCGGCCGAGCACTCGGCGTAATGTTCATACACACCGAGTACTCGGCCGAGCGCTCGAGTATGTGACTCGCTCACCCAACTCGGTACGTGTGATCAAGGCATAACTGACTATTGCAAGCCAATCGCTAAAAATACTAACTTTAAGCATAATCTAATCATAAATTGATAAATAGTTGAATAAGTATATTACAAGTATGTGGAAAGCAAGCTCATGTTGGTTTTTACTTTTAACTGATTTTGCCAAATGTTGTGTCTTAAAAATTCTAGCTTTCATCAGACAATGTTACTTTACTTTTCAACAAGTAAAACCTTTCTGCTTGACCGTTTCTATTGTCAACTCGCTTCAAATTAAACAATATAATATACCTATCGCAAAAAATATGCCAGTTTTTACACTGACAGAACAATTGAAAAAAGAGGCTGACAATAGTGTCTGAGTTTCTTGCGCTGCTTCTTCTCAGCACTGGCCCATTTATTGTCCTGAAGCAGTGGTAGGGTTAATACTGGGACGTGTAAAAGTGCTTTTTTAAAGCCTACTTACAGAAATAAATGAGTTTTACTGAGTTTTGTTGCGTACAGATTGCGAGCCAGTCAGCGTGTGGGCAATGATCAGGCATGGAACCCGGCACCCCATTAGCAGCAACTTGCCCACGATGCAGCACGCCGCTGTCCTGAAGGATGACATCGTGAGGAGATACCTCGAAGGTCGAGGGGAGCTGTGCGCACAGGTCTTACATATTTAACTACACGGCGAACTTTTTACCGCCTATGTTCATCAGAAATTATGTAGGATTCTAATGGTGATGGAATTTTTCAAATCGGTCTACTAGTTTTGAAGATTATCCCAACTAATATCCCAATCCCAACTAATATTATAAATGCGAAAGTATCTCTGTCTGTCTGTCTGTCTGTCTGTCTGTCTGTCTGTTACGCTTTCCCGCTTAAACCTCGCAACCGATTTTGATGAAATTTGGCATAGAGATAGTTTGAGTCCCGGGAAAGAACATAGGATAGTTTTTATCCCGGTTTTTGAAACAGGGACGCGCGCGATAAAGTTTTTCTGTGACAGACAAAATTCCACGCGGGCGAAGCCGCGGGCGGAAAGCTAGTTCAATATAAACAAACAAGTAATAAAATCTTACCTCTGCCCTTCAAGCCCTGCGGTTCGAGAAAGACATGTTGACACCATCAATCAATTGACGTACTTTTGAAAACTGTCGAAACGAAACTCTCCCATAGTTTTTGTATGGCACTATAAGCAAGTGACGTCACTATTTTGTCAACTCAATTAAACTACTTTTTTCAATTACAATGCGACCAAAAATCGTAATTTACAGGTAATTTAAAATTAATTAAGTTTTTAAGACCAAAATGAAGTGTCTTTTTAGAAAATTTGTGATTTCGAATTATTGGGGAATGGTGTCAAATAGTCTATTGTTACGCCATCTTAAATGCGACTGCTTGGAGTTTGACAGGGCCGGATCTACCTTAAGGCTTTTTGGGCTTCAGCCCAGGGCCCCTAAGTCAAATAATTCTGTCCCATTTTTTCAATATTTATATATTTTTTTAGATGGGCCTCTTAGTAGTATTAGCCCAGGGCCCCCTAAACTCACGGTCCGGCCCTGGGGTTTGATGGATTATAATATTAGTGTAGTAACATTGGAACGGAAAGAACTGGCCAAAAAAGTCAATTAAATGGACTCATTTTTATGACGATACTCACTTCGAAGTGATGATTCTTGTTTTTTTTTACAACTGATCCAATTACTAAGCTTGAATGGTGATAAATTAATATCTTAGTTATTAGGGAACTTACACATATGTTGTCGCAATCCGTAAATTACTCGTAATATTTTAGGACATCACAAACCTACAAGAGTGGTCCAACATTGAATTCATCAGCACCACCCCGGCACACCTCACTTTTGAAGGCTACAAGGAACTTCGCGATCTTGGAGTCAGGTAAAATATATTTTTATGTATAACTAGCTGACCCGGCGAACTTTGTTCCGCCTTAATGGCAATTAATAAGCACTTTTTTTATTTCGAACGGGATAAAAAGTATCCTATGTCCTTCTCCTGGCTATAAACTACCTCCCTGACAATTTTCAGCTAAATCGGTTCAGCCGTTCTTGAGTTATAAGTGGAGTAACTAACACGACTTTCTTTTATATATATAGACTAGGCAGGTATTTGACCGCTATCGCACCTGGTGTTAAGTGAGATGCAGTCTAGGATGGTACATATCTGCCCTGTAAGTGCCTATATTATAGTATTCGGGAAAGACAGCAGCAGGCAGCGAATTTCAGTCCCTAGCTGTTCGCATTATAAGAATTTTCGAAACGTTTAGTGCGAGCTGGTGGACTGTTGACAATGTAGGGATGGTACTCTAACCTGCGTCTGGTTCCTCGGTGATGGAGGGGACTGGTGGAATTAGGTCGTGTAATCACTTCGCACTTTCTCCGAAGCCTGTAGCCTGTAGAAAATTGGAAACAATAATATTTTAATATTATCAATTTAATATATTTAATAACATAAGATTTTAAACTTTCGCATTTCATTTCAATTAAAATAATAAGTCTGCTTGTGACCACGGCTGCAGCATCGCAGCCGAAACGTCAAGCCGTGAGTACCTACATAATGTAACTCATTAATAAACGTCGCGTTAAGACCCGTGTCTTACTATTTTAATTTAATAACATATGTACTGTATACGTAGGCATATTAGCATGTGGGCGGGGCACATAGCCCGTAGAGACGATGGCCGTTGGGGCAGAAAACTTCTCGAGTGGCAACTCGAGGGGCTGGAAGACATAGCGTGGGCAGGCCTCCTACTAGGTGGACCGACGATCTGTTAAAGTCGCGGGAAGAGCCAGAATGCGGGCAGCGCAGCGCAGGACCGTTCATTTATAGAAAGGTCTCCCCCGCCTTTGTCCGGTAGTGGACGTCATTTGGCTGAAACTAACGAACTTCTTTTGAACCAACAAGATTGTTTTCAGGTTTCACGATCATTTCCTGCCACTTCTCCAAGATCTGGATCAGCATCATTTCAAACCGACGCTGGAGCAGAGAACAATTCAAAGCGCCAAAGCATTCGTGGAAGGCTTGGCCCAAGGGTACCTGAAGTTTGAGATATCCAACGCCACGGATAGGGATGAGATCTTGAGGGTAAGAGGATAAATCAGGGAGAGAGTGACGATTATAAAAATTACAATTGATTAGTCAATCAATGCATAATCAAAAGATAACAGATTATGCATAGATATAAAGATATGAAGAAGTGACGATTACGAAAATAACAAGTGATTAGCTAATCATTGCATTAATCAAAAGGTAGATTGTAGCCGTCAGACGACGCAATCTTGAAATTAACATAATCTTTAGATAGCAAAACTAAAATGCGTTTTACATAATTACTTCCAGCCATATTTTTACTGCACGAAACACAACGTGGAAGTCTACAATGGCCCTCGCTCCAAAAATGAATTGAGCAAATACCATGAAACTCCAGAGTTCCAAAAAGTGAGTGAGTATGTACTCGTATTTAGTAAGTCAGTCAAAAAATGCAAGTTTTATTTTTTTTACCTACTAACCCTGGGTTGCAGCATCTCACTTTAACTATAACAAAAGTCAAAATTCTGTCCAACTTAAAGTTAAAAAAAACACGGCTTAAAGTTAAAGTTACGGTTTACAGCACACTTATCATCCCGGTAAGGGATCAACACCGTACCACCTTTCAACCGTCATCGCGTCAACCGCGAGGCGAGGCGTTTACGTTACGGTGCGGAAAAGTGTGCGTTGCAGTACGGAGTTTCATACAAACGCTTGGAGTTGATACGGTTACGATCCGTTTCCGGGTTGATAAACTAAGGGGATGCAACTTGCAACGTTAATTAACAGGTCTTGGAAAACGTCCAAAAGCGGACGGGTTTGGAACGGCCGCTGTCTCCAACAAACGTCACCGGTCTTTATGACCTGTGCCGATTCCTTCGAGCCTACAGCGCGCTGAGGACCTCTCCCTGGTGTGCTCTCTTCAGCGATGAGGAGCTGCAGATTCTGGAGTACTTGAACGATATACGACACTATTACAGGTTCGGTGCATAAGTACTTATACATTACTAGTTAGGTAAATGGGTTTATAAGACAACAGTAGCCCATGTTAACATGTGCATATAAATGGTATGGTGAAGTCAGAAAATTGATATCATCATGTTATTTTTTTTAATTTTCATACAAATATATACATTTTATTTTCTTTGTAATTTAATTTGAGACTTTTTAACCTGTTTAAAGTTATTTGTAACCTCAATCACAGGGGTGGCCAACTTGATTAGACATAAGATCTACTGTTTACTAACGAAACCCTGGGCGATTTTACATATGTAGTTTATTAGTACACAATCATGTAGTATTTTTTGCCTTGCCACGATTGACTGGATTAATATTCGCGATCGACCGGTTAGCCATCCCTGTCTATCACAATGACTCGTCCCTGTATGTGAAACGCATTTACTTTTTTCTGTGATATGTGAATACGATACGAATGCGGGTCGGTACAAAAAATACATACTAACTCAAATTATATTAATTATCTCATCTGTTTCAGAAACGGTTACGGCTCACCCATTAATCAAAAGCTGGCTGGTCCAGCTCTGGGTGAGCTTTTAGAACAATTTGAATCCTCCGTCCAACACTCCACAAAGTCCTTCACCAGCTACTTCAGTCACGACAGCATGATACAGATGATGTATTCCGCCCTTGGCCTCTTCCGGGACTACCCGGAAATATCCGGGTTTGAAAGACTACCAGACCGAAAGTGGCGGACGAGTTATATGACTCCGTTTGCAGCTAACTTTGCTTCCGTACTGCATAAGTAAGATTTTCACACAATATTATCATCTGATACAGTGAGTTTACATGTCAAAACATCTCCGAATTTAGTTTCAACTCTTGTAATAATATTTCAAAATATATCAACATTTTTGTTGAAGCCGAATAATATCATATTACAATTTACATTTGAGTCTAGCTGTATAAGTTCTTAAACTTGTGAAATTAGCCACATCTCTTAAAATATATCATTCTACTAACTAACGTTACTAAGAAAAGATCTAATTAAGAAAATATTTTTCACCAGGTGTACAAACGAAACTGGGGACATCAACCATCAAGTGCAATTCTTCATCAATGAGAAGGAGTTCCACCTCTGTCAGCCCAGGACCTGCAGCTGGACGGAGTTCAAGGACAAATTCGAACAATTCAGGAACAGTGATCTTGAATTCTGCAATATTTATAATAGTAGCACCACGGCACTTAAAAGCATCATTGTTGGTCTGTGAGACTAGGAGGTAGTTAGTACAATATTCTCATGGGTCGAAGATGGTGGACCTTTTTAGCCGCTTTTGCAATTTTGTGTTGGACAAGCGTTTGGTGCCAACATCACCAATGTTGGGGCAAGCCTCAAGATCTTGACCCGCCCTGCCATATTCACAATTTGGCATAGCATAAGTATGCCTGTTACTTAAATAAACCACTCGAGTTAAGATAGTAGAATAAAATAGTCTAATATCGTTGAGCTGAAAAAATAACTGCATAATGGTTTCTCGTTTATTGTCCACAAGTAAAAATAAACCATGAGCTCCGAACAATTCCTTCAAATACGCGTAGACAATACTTCTAAATAATTAAATTAATTTATAAATTAAACGACAAATATAATAAAGACAACACTTAATACTTTCTTCATTTGTTCCACCCTATTCCTCAAGGTGGCCCTATCTTAAATATACTAATGCTAAACATGCTGTCAACATCCAAGTCGTCAGAGCAATCGTTGACGCACCATCTGGGAGTGCTGCAGGGTTCTCAGGGAAGATTACTGGGCCCGTGTAGTTCATACTACAGAAGTCCAAGTTGGCTGTGGTATACCTCTGGAAGTAAGCGTCGAACTCCTCCCACGTACAGCCTTCTAGAGGACAGAGGTCAGTCACTTTTTCGTTGACGAAGACCTGGACTCGGTAGTTCTGACCGCCTGTTTCGTTGCAACTGTAAATGATATACAGGGTGTTAGGTAAAAGGGTATATGAGCCGACACTAGCCCATGTTAACATGGTCATATAAATGGTATGGTGGAGTCAAAAATTTGATATCATCATTTAATTTTTTTAAATTTTCATACAAAGTAATTTTATAAAATCCGATTTGTATGAAAATTAAAATAATTAAAATTAAGATATAAATTTTTTGACTTCACCATACCATTTATATGACCATGTTAACATGGGCTAGTGTCGGCTCATATACCCATTTACCTAACACCCTGTATATTAATTTTAATAACTCAAAAGGTCTTCTTAGTTCCCAGTAAATTATGATTGATAAAAACAATGAAACTGCTAGATTAATAAGTGTAAAGGTAAAAGCAGTGGACGTCTTTTGGCTGAAACGAACGAAAAGGTAAAAATATTTACGTGCTCAAAACCGCCAATATGTTATTTGAGAAGCCTCCAATGAAACTGGTCCTCCACATCCGATCAGGGTCTCTGTTAGATCCTTGAAGTACGAAGCTGTCTTTGTAAAGCCCCATCGCACACAGCGCCATCTCGAATAAGGTATCATGGGCGAAGTAGGCTGTTAATGTTCTGGTAGTATTTTTAGATTCCAAATAATTTTCAAAATTTTCATATAGGTTCTTCAGAACTGGCGCACCGAGGTTCACATTCACCTAAAAAGATTAGGTATTTATTTATTTCATTTATTGCAAAATGGTAGTATTTTGTAGCACAGCACCACGGTTTGTTTACTAACGATGTTATGCAAAGTATGGTCCTGCTCCAACATAAAAATAAGTAGGTAAAATAAACTAGTTTACTGCTCAAATACATCCAACATATTTTATAAGAATATTCAGTGCGTTAACTTGCTTAAAATGTATAAGGTTGTATCTTAGGACTCATCCACCGAAGGTTCTATGCAAATGTTAAACTTTTGTGCCAATAAAGAAATTCATAAGATACTATGTAATACCCCACACGACACGGTTATTTACTCGTAACTCAATTCAAAATTTGGATCGCTTTGGAAAATAACCGATCCCGACAGTCACCGTCAGTTATAATATTACTCTCACCCAAGACCCATAGCCGTTCCTATAGTAATGCTTGACGTCATCCCTATACTCCATGACCAGCAAGTCGGCGTTACTGAAGGCAGCACACCAGGGCGACTTGAGGTTCGGCTCCCAAGAGCGGTAGAAGCGACAGAGCTCGTACAGCGAGTCAACGTCTTCAGAAGACAGCTGGGTAGAAATTCCAAGACGCGTCTGGACATTGCTTTTGACCTGTGAAATCAATAAACGACCAAAACTAAGCAGATGTTAAATTAACTTCTCATTTTTGGTTTTACACAAACAGAGATATTGTTGAGCAAACCGTAATATTTTTGAAACTAATGCAAGAATTGCAGTTACGTTAAAAATTTGACAGATGCTTAGGTAGGTACATACATTTAAGAATTCGGGATTGTTAAAATAGTCCTGCAATTGGTCTACAAGCGCCTGCCCCTTTTTCACATCTTGTTGATATCTTTCGCAGTATTGGTACGGCTGAAAGAACAATGAAAAAAACATTGAGACCTGGTAAGTGATGGTTACATCTTGGTGATGACTACAAAAATGTTCAAATCAAAATCAAAATTCGTTTATTCGTGGAACATAGGTAACATAGGTGTTGATTCTTTATTGCGCATAACTCAAAAAAAATCAGCATGTTGGCAATTTACCTAATTAATACTCAACTCTCTGGATATTTTAATTTTAATTTCACAATCAAGTAAATAGTTAACATCAAAGTAATTTACTTATTGTAACACTTTTTTTTTTGGCGAGATTGAATACTTACCGATTTCCACAAACAAACATTCCAACGGACCGTAAGGTCACATATTACAAGGTCACATCTTGCAAAGTGTACAGTATTTCCTTTGTCACTTGATTGTGTCATTGTTAGTGATTCACTGAATTTTGATTAACTTCTATTAAAATTAATTACATTGTTTTGGTACACAGAGCAATAAATAACCTCACTTTTCGAATGTCTCCGTTTGAATCATTAACAAGAAAAGACTTATTTACACAAACCTCAATAACATTAATGGAGTCAATTACGATAAAATGTATAATTAAAAATTAATTGAGATTTAAGAGATTTAAAAAAAATAGATATTACACCTCCAACCAAATATCGTGATCCAAAGGTTCATCAACAGGAAGGCTGATCTGGCCACCTTCAGTCCAGCCATGCACGAACGCCTTGGCACTGGTCATCGTCACCTGGTCATCTCTGGATCTGAAGTAATAGTCATCCTCTTCACCTCCTGCCAGGTGCGGATACTTCTCTCGGAGTCTCTTCGCAACCTCATACAGCTCTTCGTAGCCAACTCCAGTCAAGAAAGAGATGGACACATCTAGAGTCTCGTTCCACCTCCATCGCTTCAAGTCTTCAATGTCCTAGAAACAATGTAAACTACTATAAATGTATGTTCCTTCGTGGCCTGACCTGAAAGTCCTAATTGCTGCTGGAAATTGAAATTACAATCGAATTATACGTTACCTCTAATAAAAAAAAATATGTTTGAAACCGAGCCCAACAAAACTACTGGTTTATTTGGCTGCAATAATACACAACAACTTAACTCTCTAGATTGAGATCTTAATCTTCGATTGATTATCGGCACGGTATCAGTAAATCGGCACGCGAACCACCAGGTCAGTATGGCCACAATGTGTTGTGTGTATTTTTCTCGGTTTGTGGCTGAGGCCGAGGCTGTGAACTCGTGGTGCATCAAATGAGCAAAATCAAGTAGCCCCGTGAAAAGTCTCGCCATGTCGTTACACCTACCTACCAATCACATGAGACCTCATAAGTTTACCTTTATCTCCTTCTTCTTATCGTGTCCACAAGAAACCTACACAGTGTCAGCCCAAAACTCCACTTCAAGAGTGACGTTGTCAGCGGCACTCATTAAATCCTCCTGCGTGCAGTTGCTCGGGCACTCAGGCAACGACATCATGTGCTTCATCAACTGGGGAACAAAACCGCACCTGTACTCAATGTTTGAGCCATCCCAGAATCCGACCTAAACAGATTGTCCTTACTACGGCCGACCTGCGACCGTGTCTTTTCGTTCAACAGCAATTTTCTTACGTAACGGTAAGGCTGTCGCCCGAGTTCCTGTTGCTATTCCAGGGGGCGCTGCATCACAGTCTGCTGCTTTAGTAGCCACAAACCTGAGCGCACAGCTGCCCTTTGCCCTCATGGTGGCTGCTGACAATCTCATGCTGCAGGTTGGCGACGGCCCGCATCCTCCCGATCACGCTCTCATCAGGGTTTCTGTTGCCATGCCGGTTTAGCGACCAGAGGGCAACTGCTTTGCAGTCTGCAACGTTAAATTAGAGGTAGTTGCAACGGGTGAGGTCACGAGTAGGTAGACCATATCTGTCTGATGGCGGCTGCAGTATGCGCCTGGATGCGTGCAACGTCGTCACGTCATCGTAAAGTTTCTGTACTCATGTGGCGTCGTTGTGGAAAAACTTGGCTAGCAACGTTGATTTTAGACCCGACTGAATTTTTAGGGTAGCTCCCCTACATGTAAAGTGGGGATGAATTTTTTTTCATCTTTTACCCCATCGTGTTGGGTATCGTTAGATAGTTCTTTCTTTTTAAATGACTTAGGGGTTTCTAAGACTATTTTTCGATTTAGGGATCGGTTTGAAAAATATTTAAGTTTAAAGTGCCAATTTTTATTCGAGTAGGGCGTCCCACCCCACTAAAAATTAAACTTTTGGTTCAAAAAATTTGGAAAAATTGACAATAATAGTACTTTTTATGAACTTTACTGAAAAACTATAACGGTTAAGATAGAACAGTTTAGTTTAAGAGTAATAGTAGTTTAAGTCATGTATAAAAAATCCTTAAGAGAAAATATTAAAAGCGACTTTAGACGAAGTAATTGCTTGCTTCTGGCTTGCTTCTGAAATATATTGTGTTAAAACACGGACTACTACGGAACCCTATACTGCGCGTGGCACGACACGCACTTGGCCAATTTTTATACTATGATAGTATTCTAATGTATCTATGATATTTTATATCATACAACTTACTTGGTGGTGTTGGATAATCTCTTATGTCTCCCCTCACAGCATCGTATGGTGTTTTTGAAGAAAACAGCTGATATGCACACCCATCGTTCCAGTAGCATGACTGGCTTGAAACTATGTTAACGAAAATAAATACTACTATCTCGTATGAGATCATCTTGTACTACTGCTGTGAGTCGTATCATACTCGTAGTTATATATAGCCACAGCGTCCGTCAGTCTTCAAAGAATGGAATGGCATTAAAATTATTTTTCAATTATTCAGCATTTTTTTACAAGCTTTATATTGACTTCACTTGTTAGTATGTGTGGGACAAATCTTGCAACTGAATTTAAGACCACTTCTCCTCAACCGATTGAGCTGAAATTTGGTATACTTATGTAAGTACGATGACAATGCAATTTTATGGTACCATTGAGCTGGTCTGATGATGGAGTCAGGAGGTGGCCATAGGAACTCCTAAACGAAACGGCTGAATCGCATCGAGTTTGGGATCGTTGGATTTGTCTTTTAGAGCAGTTTAGTGCTAGATGATGTCCAGGGTCCTGATGATGGATTAGGGAGGTGACCATAGGAACTCCTAAACGAAACGGCAGAAACTCATCGAGTTTGGGTTCGTTGGATTTTTCTTTTCGAGCAGTTTAGTGCTATATGATGTCCAGGGTCCTGATGATGGAGTCAGGAGGTGGTCATAGGAACTCCTAAGCGAAACGGCGGAATCGCATCGAGTTTGGGTTCGTTGGATTTGTCTTTTCGAGCAGTTTAGTACTAGATGATGTCCAGGGTCCTGATGATGAATTAGGGAGGTGGCCATAGGAACTCCTAAACGAAACGGCAGAAACTCATCGAGTTTGGGTTCGTTGGCTTTGTCTTTTCGAGCAGTTTAGTGCTAGATGATGTCCAGGGTCCTGATGATGGATTAGGGAGGTGGCCATAGGAACTCCTAAACGAAACGGCAGAAAGTCATCGAGTTTGGGTTCGTTGGATCTTTCTTTTCGAGCAGTTTAGTGCTAGATGATTTTTTTTAAGGGACGCGCGCTGGTAGCTTGACGAGCTTTTCCAGCTTCACCGGGCAGATTGCCGAGTACAGAAGGTACTCTAGCCGTTTGGCGATCGTCGGTGCGCATACCGACGTTCGCGATCGGGCCGTATCGAGCGCATAAGGCGCCCGATCAGTGGCGAACCCAACTAGAGGGTTGCCCACCGCGGTGTTGGACCAAAGTCCAGCCTACGGTGGGCTCACTCTAGTGGGCCCGATCGAGGGGGACTACGGACGCAGCCTGAGGGCGCCACGCTAGGCTCGGACCTCGGCTCAGGCCGTGTCCGGGGGACGGATTGGGGAGAACCGGCCCGGTACATGTCTGTACCGTCCGAAATGAAATGCAGGGCCTCGTACTCGCCGGCGAGTACGGTGTAACGAGCTACTGTGTTGTGGAGTAGTTGGCGTGCTTAAGGCAGTGATGTCTGACGTGTTCAGAAATTCGGTAATAGGATCGTCCGGGTCGTCTAGGACATGCCTAGGTCGTCGGTATTGGGCAGCGACATCTTTCTGTGGTGTGTACGTGGCGGCGCTAACGATAAGAGGGTTCTTGTGGTTGATCGCTTTATCAAAGTAGCGGCGAGAGGCTTCTTTCATAAAGTGATCAATCGATGGGATCTCGAAATCTCAATGGAGATTCGTGTTACGCACGAACCACGGGGCATCCGCGGCTCGGCGTAAGAATTTGTTTTGGAGGGTCTGGAATTTCTTAAGGTCTGTGCAGGAAGTGTGAGCAAACACCGGACTGGCGTAAGTCAACACTGGACGGATGCAGGTTTTGTAAATTGTCAACTTATTTCTAAGTGACAATTTACTTTTCCTTCCAACTAGGTGGTAGAGTCGGTGGGTGTAGTGGTTCGCAACGGCTCAAGACGCGTCTGAGGTGCGGAGCGAACGATAATCTCTGGTCGAGGGTGACACCTAAGTACTTGGCCTCACTCTTCAAGGAATAGTTTGGTCAAATAAGGTGAGATGGGTGGGGACATTAGGACGAGTGCGAACCGGAGGACGTTTCGCAGACAAAGCCCTAGAAAAGTACATTGCTGCACTTTTTTCGGGATTTACCTCGATACGCCACTTTCTGAACCATTCGCCTAATTGTGTGACTGCGCGTTGGAGCGCCAAGATGACGTAATTCCGATTACGTCCGGACTTGTAGAGTGCGGTGTCGTCCGCAAAGAGGGCTAAATCCGTATTCGGATATTTGGGGATGTCATTGACGTACAATGAAAAAAGAATGGGTGCTAGATGATGTCCAGGGTCCTGATGATGGAGTCAGGAGGTGGCCATGGGAACTCCTAAACGAAACGGCGGAATCTTATCGAGTTTGGGCTCGTTGGATTCGACTTCTCGAGCACTTTGGTGCTTAATAATGACCTAGAGATTGAGATACAACTAAAAAGTGTAAAATAAAATTATAATAAAAAAATACTTTTTTAAAAACAAGCTTTATCCTGAAATGCAGTTGTACTAAAACGAAAAAAATAATTGTATGCTTGGTTCAAAGAATTTTGAAAGCTTGTAGCGCAAACAGAAAAAAAAGAGGAATAAATTCCATGCGCGATACAAGCTTTTGAAATTCTTTGAACCAAGCATACAATTATTTTTTTCGTTTTAGTACAACTGCATTTCAGGATAAAGCTTGTTTTTAAAAAAGTATTTTTTTATTATAATTTTATTTCGACTTATCTTTTCATACAAAGTAATTAATTCGCTATAGTTAGATAACCGTGTTAAAATATCAATATCACATTATTGAATAATTTACATACTTATCAATGAATATTATGTAGGTAATGTACAAAATGACTAGATAGCTGGGTTACAATTTTGGACAAATCTCTATTAAGATTGATAATATCTTCGAAAATGTGCGTTTAGGAACCATTGAGTTATAATGTACAACCACGTACAACTTACAGTAATATTAATTACTTCAATCATAGGAACACGTCATGATTTTAAAATAACTCATTTTTATTCATAGAATATACTCCTAAAATTTCAGGAAATCAAAAAGAGCACGTTGTTTAGATGATTTACATATTATTTAAATAAAAAAATAAATTCTTTATTGACATAGAAGTGTTACACTTAAAACGCTTAAACAATCGGAATGAAACAAAATGTTACAACATTTTAGTGTGTGTAATTTTATTTTTTGGCTCTCGCTAAATCACCATTATTGGAGGTAACACTTATACATAATGCGGTTGACGATATTAATACAGTGTGTCCGGATTTTGTATTTTTTCAGTCTTAAAGTAGCCATTAATTAATTCATCTACTTCGATATTACTGTATTCAAAATAATAACTTCTAATACTTAATTTAATTCACTTTTTAAATTATAAATACTGTATTATTTAAATAAAGACCAAACTTATTAATACTTTTTTTATGGGACAAGAGGCAAATGAGCAGACGGATCACCTGATGGTAAGTGATTACCAGCGCCCATAGACCGTAGTCCCGGGGGCGTTATAGGTGCGTTGCCGGCCTTCAAGGTGTAAATACGCTCTCTTCAATAGAATTCGTTCGTTCTATTCTTCAAGGTGGCCCTATCTTAAGGTTCGACCAAACCAACGCGATCACATGCGATCAGCCGGCGTGCAGCTATGGTGACCAGACTTAAATGCATTGATCGCCATCGCTGCACGCCGGCTGATCGCGTGTGATCGCGTTGGTTTGGCCGAACCTTTAAACATACTAAAGATAAACTTTGTCATCATCCAAGTCTTCAGAGTACTTCTGGGCCCGTGTAGTCCATACTGCAGAAGTCCAAGTTGGCTGCGGTATACCTCTGGAAGTAAGCGTCGAACTCCTCCCACGTACAGCCTTCTAGAGGACAGAGGTCAGTCACTTTTTCATTGAAGAAGATCTGGACTCGGTAGTTCTGGCCGTCTGTTTCGTTGCAACTGTAAAAAAACAGTAATTTAACTAAAAAGCCCTTAAAGTAAGTGGCCAATAAATTAACTATATTATAAAAGCGAAAAGTCACTAATTGACTGACTCGCTCATCACGAAATCTCAGAAACTGCAAGTGCTAGGAGTCTCAAACTTTGCTTGGGGGTTCCTTTTAGAACGTAAGTGCTCACTAAGAACGGATTTTACGAAACTCCACCTCTAAGAGGGTTAGGCCTCAGCCTCGAACTTAGCGGGCAGCGGGGCGGCGGCGGCGGCGGCGCGGGAGCGGCAGGATCTTATGCGTAAAATCAAATAGACCGGTTCTCGAAAACAGCGGCGCGGCAGCGGGGCGGCAGCGGGCAACGAGCGGGCAGCGGCGAGGGAGCGGGCAACGAGCGGGCAGCGCACTCCTTCTTTTGCCCACAATAAATCGAGCGTTAGGAATAAATTTGAATCGAAATAAAATTGTCGCCGTTGTTCAGACATTTCGTTTGCGAATAAAAACAAATATCTCGACAACACAACCCCGAACACAACACTTCGCCGCTAAAGCGCCGCGCGAGCTGCCCGCTTGTTTCGAGAACGGGTCTGCGTTGCCCGCCCCGCTCCAGCGCCGCCGCCGCTCCCGCCCCGCTGCCCGCTAAGTTCGAGGCTGAGGCCTAAAACGGGATCCACGCGTATGAAGTCGCGGGCGGCCGCTAGTGAATAATAAAGTAAAACTCTAATTGAGCATTATCTTTCATGCTGCAATGCTTTTTCGGTGCAAATCGTTTAAGATATCTATAATAATCTTTAGTGCAAATCGTTTAATTTATTTTTATTTTATTAAAGATAATCGTAATCTTCAATTTCAATTAAACGATTTGCACCGAACAAAATTATCAGATACCTATGTTATTTTGATTGATACCATCAAAATCCAATGAAAGTGATTATTCAGAAGTACCTACTTTTACGATTACTAAATAAATACACTTCTTATCTAGTTTAGCAGTTTGGTACAAATAAATAAAATTACACGTTTACCTACAGTAAATAAATGTCTAAAATTTGAAGTAATTTTTTGTGAATATTTCATTATTCAGCTGCGCCCGCGACTTCGTACGCTTGAAAATAGTTCGAATAATATTTCCCGTTTAGTCGCTTGCCTCTCTAACTGACGTATCTGAAATTTTTTTCGAAACTGAGTTATCTACACCATCTTAGGGCTGATTTTTCAATCGTCGGATAATTTTTATCTGAAGAATAAACTTGTCATTTTGTCATATTTTCCATGCTGTCAATGTACCAAACTTATTCTTCAGTTAAAAGTTATCCAACGATTGAAAAATCGGCCCTTAATCAATTTCGCAAGACGAATCGATCTGTCTAATCGCCTGAAAAAGGCAAAAATGGGCTATCGAACACAAAAAAAAAACAAATTGGCCCAGTACTTTGTTTCTGAGATAAGCGTGTTCAAACAAATCTCTTCAGATTTAAAATATTAAGTATAGATTAGCAGGTAAAAATATATATTTACGTATTCAAAACAGCCAGGATGTTCCCAGCGAGGCTCCCAATGAAACTGGTCCTCCACAGCCGGTCAGGGTCTATCTCCGACCCTTGAAGTACGAAGTTGTCTTCGTAGAGCCCCATTGCACACAGCGCCATCTCGATCATGGTGTCATGGGAGAAGTAAGCCACCAATCGTCTTGCAGTATTTTCTGATTCCAAAGAAGCTTTGAAATTTTCATAGAGATCCTTCAGAACTGGCTTGCCGAGGTTCACATTCACCTAGAAAGAAAGTTTTTTGCACAATGTTCTAGTTTACATGCATGATTTTAATATTGTAATTTAATGTAACGTAAAACAAAGATGTAAAACTCAGCTGTGACCTTTTTGAAAATAAAACGTTTCAAAGTTTATAACTTATTGAATGAACCCAGCAGTAGTAATCTTTTTTTTAAGATTATTAGCAATTTGTATTGCACAAATTACTAATAGTCGCATTAGCCCCTCGTGTTAAGCTAAATAAGCTTGTGTTACGAGTGGGCTCACCACAATAGTCGAGCGGCGGTGGGATTCGAACCCGCGTTCCTCGGATCTCGAATCGGCCACTCCGACCCCTTCACCGTTCGGCTATCGTGGCTATAATCAAACCGTTAGTTCCTCTCACCCAAGACCCATAGCCGTTCCTATGGTAGTGAGTGACGTCATCTCTGTACTCCACAACCAGCAAGTCTTCGTTACTGAAGGCAGCACACCAGGGCGACTTGAGCTTCGGCTCCCAAGAGCGGTAGAAGCGACAAAGCTCGTACAGCGAGTGGACGTCTTCGGAAGACAACTGGGTCGAAATACCAAGACGCGTTTGGACATTGTTTTTGACCTGTGAAATAGATGTGTTCTATGTTATACAGTTCCAATCTTTGCCATCCGATAAGTACAAAATATTGAGATCTTTACATTTATAAATTCAGGGTTGTTGCAATAGTCTTCCAATTGGTCTACAACCGCCTGCCCACCTTTCACATCTTGCTGATATCGGTCACAGTTTTCATACGGCTGAAAGGAAAATTAAATAAACATTGAAAACGCAAATATTTGAAACTAAAAATTGACAATCAAGTCACTAGAAAGAACTAATGCTTACTCTGATGACATCATCGTGCTCCCAAGGTCCATCAACAGAAGGATTTATCTGGCTACCTTCAGTCCAACCATGCACAAACGCCATAGCACTGGTGATCGTCCTCTGTTCATACGTGGTTCTGAAGTAATAGTCGTCCTCGGTACCTTCAGCCAGATGCGGATACTTCTCTCGGAGTCTCTTCCCGATCTCATACAACTCTTCATACCCAACTCCAGTCAAGAAGGAGGCGGACTCATCTAGAGTCTCGTTCCACCTCCATCGCTTGATGTCTTCGATGTCCTACAGAGACAATGATAATGAATAAATCTTGTTTTATATTCCTTCGAGTCTTAAGTTGTCCGATTGAGTTACATCAGTTACATTAACTCCTAAGGCTGAGTTGCACCATCTTACTTTGACTTTAACAAACGTCAAAAATCTGTCAAACTCCATACAAAATACGCCGGTTATCGTTATAGTTACGGTCAAAGTTAGGTGGTGCAACTCAGCCTAAGTGTTACTAACTAATCACAATTGAATCACGTTTAGTATAAAAAACGTTTTGAAATCAAGTACAGCAAAACTACGGGTTTATTTAGTCACTGCAACGTAGACAAAACTACAGAGATTACATCTTGAATAGATAAAAATGCGATAGGATAAAATATGGGACTGGAGGACAGTATTGACAGTAATACAGTACGCAAATCACGCCAGCCTGCCTTCAAATAGACTGGTTGCCAGCGCAGCTCAGTATTAGGCAACCCCATTTTTGAATCGGCCATAATACAACCCCATAAGCTGCCTCAATGGAGAGGAATTGCTGTATTATACAGCACCGGTCGTACGCCAGGGTTCCTGTCGCCTACCACAGAACTGAGCACGCAGCTGTCTCTTGCTTTAGTGGTGGCTGCTAACGACTCCTCCTGGTCTCAGTCACGCTGTCAACCCGGGTTCCTGTTGCCGTGCCGGTTTATCAACCAGAAAGTAACCTTCACAGTTTGCAACGTTTGTAGCCACATACCTGAGCACACAGCTGCCCCTTGCCCTCGTAGTGACTGCTGACAATTTCGTCTTGCAGTTGGGCGATGGCGCGCATGCTCGCAGTCACGCTGTCAACCCGGCTTCCTGTTGCCGTGCTGGTTTATCACCATGCCGGTTGAGCGACCAGAAAGTAACCTTCACCTTCACAATCTGCAACGTTTGTAGCCACATACCTGAGTACACAGCTGCCCCTTGCCCTCGTAGTGACTGCTGACAATTTCTTCTTGCAGTTGGGCGATGGTGCGTATGCTTGCAGTCACGCTATCAATCCAGCTTCCTTTTGCCATGCCGGTTCAGCGACCAGAAAGTAACCGCTTTACAGTTTGCAACGTTTGTAGCCACTTACCTGAGCACACAGCTGCCCTTTGCCCTCGTAGTGACTGCTGACAATTTCGTCTTGCAGTTGGGCGATGGCACGCATGCTTGCAGTCGCGCTGTTACCTGGATTCCTGTTGCCGTGCCGGTTCAGCGACCAGAGAGCAACTGCTTCACAGTCTGCAACGTTTAGACGAGAGAGAGAGGGTTGTTGAAGGAAAGATAGGTTGGATTCTCGAATCATCATCATCATCATCATGTCAGCCATAGGACGTCCACTGCTAAACATAGGCCTCCCCTAACGCTTTCCATGTTGATCGATGTGGGACGACGTCCACCTACAAGGTGGACCGACGACATCGTAAAGGTAGCAGGGAAACGCTGGACGCAGGCCACTACCAATACCAACCGATCAACATGGATTCTCGAATACTTGGATATTAATTACAGTTGCCGCGAATACTCGCTATTATTCGGTATTCGGCATTACTCGACATTTTTTTGATATTCGTCGAATACCGAATAATAGCTAGTATTATTCGGCATTCGGCGAATAGTCGTTTAAAATAAACTTTTAGTGAACAAAAAAAGTATGGAGTTAAAAATAATCATATTTTTATTATTTTCCCTAATAAAACAATACACAATAATATCAATTATTATTTGTAATAGTTATGTACCTGTGCCTATCATATTCATGAAATTAACCCTCCGTGTACCAGGTGACTAAAAGTTACGTCCCGTACCAGGTGGGGGTATGACATACCCTAATAAACAAAGTAAAAAAAATCATAGAATTTTTTTTGGTGGAATTTAATATAGATTATTTACGTATGCTTATGAGGTTTAAGAAAATATCTGAGCTGAAAATATGTATTTTAACATTTTTATCATAAAAAAAACAAAAAGACACAATTTCCGTTGTTCTTGTAATTTAGGAATCAGTTTCTTATGTATAATATAATTTATAATTAGTGCCTCTAATTATGACAACCGTTTTTATTTAACAAAGTACAAGATATTAATGTACTTATAATTTAAAAGTAAATTAGAAACGACGACATCGTAAAGGTAGCAGGGAAGCGCTGGACGCAGGCCGCTACCAATCTATCAACATGGAAAGCATTGGGGGAGGCCTATGTTCAGCAGTGGACGTCCTATGGCTGAAATGATGATGATGATGATGATGAAATTAAAATCTTGAATACTTGAATTAGTAGTTTAGAAATTAAAGACTCGTGAAACGATTTGATCTTTAGACATATTTTTTTAATTACCCGACCAAGGTGTCTTTAAATGGTCAGACGACGATAATGGCAGAACCAATTTGATTCCTATTAGTTATATAATAATTATAATTGTAATTGTAATTTATAATAATGATTTTTTATGCACAAATTCACATGCCAGCTACGCTGGTGAGATAAGCTGCACCTCTTTTTAATTTAAGACCACATATTTTATTGTACCACATTATCTCGGTGTATAAATAATCTTTGAATCTTTATTCAAACTATCCAATATTATACAAAATACCGAACTTTTTGCCGAAGTCTTTTGGCTCCAAAGTAGGGTTGTTAGCAAATACTTCTGAATTGCGAATTTACTATTTTTTAAACCAAATTTTAATGAAAGCTACATATTTTTTCTACTTATAAAGAACTTACTTGCCGGTGTTGGATAATCTCTAATGTCTCCCCTCACAGTATCGTATGGTGTTTTCGAAGAGAACAGCTGATATGCACACCCATCGTTCCAGTAGCAAGACTGGCTTATAGCTATATTTACTAAAACTAATATTACTAGAGCGTGTGACATCATCATGTTTTTCTCTACTACTGATGGGAGGTGTATCATTCTCGTAGTATATTTATGGACGAAGTTATCTAGTTCGAGTGCCCCCACTTTAATTAAATAAAGCTGTGACCACATAGCGAGGAACAGTCACAGCACACACACTATCGGCCATAGTGTTAACTATCCATTTTCGTTTTTGCTCTCGTTATCATCAAATGGCGATTCTTTGCGATAGATCGAGACGATGACCGGCAATTGGTAGTTAACACTAAACACTGTTGCCGACAGTAATATACATAGTAGCAATATAATTTTACCTACATATAAATTGTATTTGGTATACAAAAGCTGACAAGTTTGAATAACACGTGAAAGATTGAATTGATAACTTTTCACAAAATTTCTACGTATTTCTTGTGGTTACAACTAAATATTTCCCGCGGCTTCTGCATGGATTACAGTGTGCCACAAAAAGACCAACTTATTTGATGCTTAACATTGTTCCTTCAAATGTTTTTACGTGCAAATCCATCCATCCATACTCTCAAACTTTCACATATAATTTTTAAGCAATTGATTAGTGTAGGTAAATAAAAAATTGTATTTTAGCTCGCCAGTGTAACGCGTCCTTACTGGAATACAGATTAGGTACGTCTAGGGTTGCCATACCCAAAAACACAAGAACCGGACTCGGTGCTTAATTTGGCCGGACATCTAACCCTAAAAGCCGGAAAAGTAGTAAGTATCACACCTCATGACTGACTACCAACCATCATCTTCGAATCGGTAGCCCAACATCAGGATACGCCCATGTGTGCTCGATATTATTATGTGCCTCAACTTTCGACTGGCGCGACAGCCACATAAAAAGCCTAACAAAAGCTGGACAGGCCGGATAACAAAATATTTGGCCAGACAAGTCCTTAAAAAGCCGGACATGTTTGACAACCCTATAGGTACGTCGCATTTGGACCCAACGTAGTTCTTAGCGATGGTGATATGACAGCTCGCGGTGATAAGATGATTGAAATAATGAATAGAATAGGTACCTACATTGATCACATCTTATCATAGTAGATAAATATTGGTAATCTAGGATAGACAACTAAACAAACGTCTGAATATTTATCTTAAATAATAGAACACTTCATTGTACACTAGCGATCCGCCCCTGCTTCGCGTAGGTATGTATTAAACTTAAAAACCTTCCTCTTGAATCACTCTATCTATTTAAAAAACCGCATCAAAATCCATTGCGTAGTTTTAAAGATCTAAATATACATAGAGACAGACAGACAGGAAAGCGACTTGTTTTATAAATGTAGTGATAGTGATGATGGTGATCACACAAAACAAATTCAAATTCAATGATTTATTTGGGCTTATTTCACTATTCCCCGTTCAACGTTAAAAATAAAATAGTAATATAACGGGGATTAATGAACTTTTTACTTCATTTATCCCCATTATAAGCTCCAATTAGCGTTAATTGGGGATGTCAATGGGGAATAGTGGAATAAGCCTTTATTTATTTGCCAGAATACAATATCACATGCTTGTTTGCTTTACCTATGCATGCTTTTATCACAAAGCAGATCATAGGTAAAGCTATTAAATTAATGTAGTATGTAACATAAAAGAAAAGAAATAAATACAAAAAACATATGGCACAATCTATATTTCAACAAAGGTCATCTCTGCAATTCTGTAATCGTATGCAATTCCTTATCAATGTATTCAGTTAACACTGAGCCATCTGTAATAGCTACTTAGTAAAGAATTCATTTTACATAAGGTCCATCTCTACATATATCCACGCCGAATAAGTCGAAAGAATTTGCCAATTTCTTTTGAAATTTAGTCCTAAGGTAATCCAGGCGATTATTGTCTCTTAATAAACTTCTTTTATTTTCAATAATGGTTCACTTTTGCTTATAAGTGTCCACATATTATGTATAAACATTTTGCAAATGACCTGTACTAGGTATAAACCCTTACCAATATTATGCTCTAATTCCAAATCACCCTGTATACTGAGTGAGTGAGTAGTGCAGGGTTTCCCATTTTTTTTTTGCCAAGGAACCCTAATTGGTTATACTTTTCCTAGCGGAACCCCCGTACTACTCCGCCCGCACGCCCTGCCCCTCCCTTGTGCGTAAACAAGTCGGTGCGAGCGAACAACGTCGGTCACGAAACGTGGGATAATATTTTTTACGGAACCCTTGCGGCCTTTCCACGGAACCCCAGGGTTCCGCGGACCACCTTTCGGGAACCGCTGGAGTAGTGTATCTTCAGAACGCCTGATTGATTACTTACAAGCATTATTATAGGCATATAGGTACAACGCATTCTATCGCCCGTATTCACAAACATTACTATGAGGTCTCACAGTGCGCGTGGACGCACGAACCAATTACAGAGCTCTATTCAACGCTGTGCGTTCGATTTGCTGCTTCACTTAAGCAAGCATCGTTTGTGAATACGGGTGTAGGTCTTGACCGCACACGGCACACGGCACCAACATCAATTAAAGTCTATATCTGCCCACAAATATCAGCTGCATATCTTTAATCTATGTGCAATATGTTTATCAAATTTTTAGGGTTTTTTGAATAATCTAAATCAATTTATTTTGCGGTCGCATGTACTAAAGTCCATCTAGTAAAATTAATGGAGATGTTGTTGATATTTGAGGGCAAATATTTAGTGGAGACTGATTTATTCATTTGTTGTGACGTATGTATCTTGTTTTAAATTCCCATTTTCCATAATGTATTTACTTATTAAGCAAACCATGATAACTACGATCAGAGATGCTCACCATGCCATCTATACTAATATTATAAATGCGAAAGTAACTCTGTCTGTCTGTCTGTCTGTCTCGCTTTCACGCCTAAACCACTGAACCGATTTTGATGAAATTTGGCATGGAGATAGTTTGAGTCCCATGTCCTAGGGATAGTTTATTTCCCGGTTTTTGACACAGGGACGCGCGCGATTAAATTTTTTGTGACAGACAAAATTCCAAGCGGGCGAAGCCGCGGGCGGAAAGCTAGTTTCCTAAGACAAAAAACATATTTTATTCGTTCTCCTATCGCAGTCGGGTAAAAAAATGCTCATTCAAAGTTATTTGTAACATAAACACATAAAACAAGGAAATAATTTTAACACAACATGTTGATATTATTTTATTGTGCTCTTTAATCTACATAAAGCTACCTACTGTTATAAAATAATAAAATCATGATAGCTATTAGGTTTCTACAGATTTTCTGATAGACTTTGATAATCAATATTTATAATTGGATTAAATTTTTCATGTAAATACCTAGGTATCTGTTAAAATTTAAAAAGCATCTCTATTTGTTTCGTTGCGACTTGTGACATATTATTTTGATCATCATCATCATCATCATTTCAACCATAGGACGTCCACTGCTGAACATAGGCCTCCCCTAATGCTTTCCACGTTGATCGATTGGTAGCAGCCTGCATCCAGCGCTTCCCTGCTACCTTTACGATGTCGTCAGTCCACCTTGTAGGTGGACGTCTCACGCTGCGCCTTCCGGTACGCGGCCTCCATTCCAGAACCTTGCTGACCCATCGGCCGTCAGTTCTGCGTACTATGTGCCCTGCCCATTGGCACTTCAGCTTGCTAATCCCTCGGGCTATGTCAGCGACTTTACTACTGTTATTTTGATGCGAATGTGCAAATCTTTTTTTTTTATTAAAACTACTGACGCAATACTTATTTTCTGAAAATTTTATTCAATCTTCTCTTTGGAGCACCGTGAATAAAGTGTATGATGTTTTGATTATCTGAAATAAAAATAACATTATTTCAAGAATGTACCAATTGCCAAGATTTTTGGATTATTGCTATGCTACCAACAAGCTGCCGGGCTGAAAGCGGGTTTGGTGTAGGTAGAATCATAACATCATCATCACCATCATCTCAGCCATAGGACGTCCACTGCTGAACATAGGCCTTCCCCAATGCTTTCCATGTTGCCCCGTTGGCAGTGGCCTGCGCCCAGCGCCTTCCTGCTACCTTTATGATGTCGTTGGTTCACCTTGCGCAGCGTGGAACATCCACCCACAAGATTCATAACGCTGAATAATATTTCTCTTTTACAACTCACAGCCATAAAAGTGTTCAAAGAGAGAGTAGTGAAGCCCCCCGCTGTGACCTTGATGACCCGTTGCGAGCGGACCATCAGTACCAGCAGGTCCCTCCTCAGAGGTGCCGACATCTCATACCAGAGGGACTCGTATACCGCATCCCCCACTTGACTGCTCTGCAATGTAAACTCAACTTTAGGTTGGTTTTAGAGTCACGCTGAAGAACGCTGGCCGTTCAGCGCTGGTAGCCGAATTGTATGAAGCGTCGGCGCCGAGCGGTCAGCGTCACTCAGGAACGTTCCCTTCAATTACATACATATTGATCTGTCAGCGCCGACGATCAGCGTGCAGTCAGCGCGACTCTAAAACCAGCCTTAAGAATTTGTCATAAGGGCGCACTTTTATTTATTAGACTACCAACAAAACAGATACAACAAAATGAGTTATTACAACTAAAAAGGCTAAAGAACTAAGGCTGGGTTGCACTACTTGCACCATCCTACTATAAAAAATCAAGAGTGTCAAACTCTATACAAAAATCTCCGGTTATGATTAAAGTTACAGTTAAAGTAAGGTGATGCAAGTCAGCCTAAGTGTTGTCTTAAGGAGAGTCCCACATAACCCACTGGCCGTCCCCATCGACCAGTGGCTACGCGCAAAGCATTTACCGGCGTTAAAAAAAAGTGTAGTCTTAATTAAAGGCTGCACAATGCATGCCTAACGGCATGCATTGTGGCCAGTTTAATAACAGAAATAAAAAAATATAAAATAAAAACTTTGTAGGTCCTATCCTAGGTCTGGGCCTAAGAATTAAATTGTAGCTTTACCACAGTCGAGAGCTCGTGGGCCTGGTAACAGTAGAGGAAGACCTGCATCAACATGCACATGAAGTATGTGGTCATTCCCAAGATGGTCATCACGTTACTGGATACCTACAAATAAATACACGAGATTATAAACCTTGTTCGTTTTATTGTTCCGTCCTTTTTATTATTACTTCAAGACAACATTTACATATGGTCGACTGATCCTAAGAAGAAGTGGCGAAAGAAAAAAAGAAACTCCAAATAAAATGAGGGCGTGCATTGACGCCCTAAAAATAACACAAGATAGCTTCATCATCATCAACAGCCCTATATACAGTCCACTGCTGGTCTATGAGCCTCCTCCATTATAGTGGCGGGTTTTGCCATAATCCCCAAGCTTGGCAGGTGGGTTGGAGATTTAGTTTAGATTAGCATTCAAAAAAACTCACAAAAGCCAACTGGTACGCCGTTACGCAGATGATGACCAAGGACACGGAGAACTGCGCCAAGATGGAGGTGGAGAAGTACTGCTGGAGCAGACCAGCCACCTGCAGAACGGACCGGTGCTGCTGCACGCAGCGCTGAAGCTCTTCTCTGATGGCCCGCTCCTGCTCTGCCTCGAACATGTTCTGGAAAATATATCTAGATTATTCAAAAGTATATTTCTGAGAGCATCGCGCACATCACATCGTTCGTTTGTTTCAGCTACATGTCCTGCTCTGCGCCATCCGTGTCCATGCTCACATTCACAGTGGCGAAAAAGCACACTGCTGTCACTCATTGCAAAACATATTTTGACCTCGTTTCCACTCTACGTAATCAGCGGATTTGCAGAGTAAGCCTAAACTGCCGAAAAGGCTAGCAGGCTATGCAGTTTTTAAGTAGCTATTTACATTTTGCAGGACCCGGCAAGAATGCCGAGCTCAGCATAACTTTCGAGGCGTTTTCAGCAGAACGTTCGGACCATTGTAATGTGAACGAACTCGCGCCAGTATCCGTGCCACTTGCTCACAATACCTTTACCTCGCTAGTCATTTCGGCGTTCAGATGAGAACTAGTCTCCAGTTTTTGTCGGATCCGATTTTATGTGAACCCCAGGATTGGGTGCCAGTTCCCAAAAATCCGCCAACCCAGCAAGTGTGGTAATAAAGCATCATCTCTCCTACCGTGACCAGCATATCGCCTCCCAGCATCCTCAGCGCAGCGGCCAGCAGCCGCAGCCGACACGTGCACTGCGCCATCATCGAGATCACCACCGTATCCAGGCTCACGTTCACAGACGCGCCCAGTAACACCGCTGACACCTAGCAAAATATAAAAAAATTAAAATATTTATTGCCTGATCAACTATGTAGGGGAAGCCCGGGCAGCACGGGTACCTTAAGAAAAGTGGCAAAAAAAACACATAAATATGCAATCAACAACAGTCTATTAATTAATAATTTATATCTTAGGTCTACAATAATTACAATCATCTTTGGAATTGTAAAGAATAAACTTAGAAACTTAAACAAATTCTACAATAAAAATGTCATTAAAAAAAAGTTCCAATTATCCATTTTGCCCGACCCCCCTGGGCAAAACGGATATGTACAGTAATAACTGCTTTAATCATTACAATCATCACAATAATAACTGCCTATGCCTGAATATAAGGTACAATCCTCGTGTGCCCACTTCTTGCATTGATTGCACTCTATCCAATCCTCGGTAGGTGGTTCAGTGTATTCTTCTGAGCACACAACATAAATATTTTGTTTTCTCCATCTGATTTTTGTTTTTGGTCATTTTTCCTCTTGACAAGTCTTGTTTGGAAGTTCTTATTTTCAGATGTGTGGTTTTGTTAGGGCCTGCTAATTCAGTTATGGCTGTCTTTACCTATCCGTTCTGCCCATATCCATCTTGCCCAAAGCACCAATATTTAAAAGTTTTATACCCACTCGTTAAATTTCTACCGGTGAAAAAAAGCAACACACACAAATAAACTTAATTTAACATGCAATCAACTAAACAGAGTCTATAAGTCAACACTTAATACGTAATACAAGAAATCAACACACATACCTTGCCAAAAATCGTAAGAAAACAGACAAAAACTTTTGATTTCGAATTGACAAAAAGTTCACGCACGTATTGTTTTGGTGGAACTATCATGGGCGTGGCTGTGTTGCTGTTTTACAGACCCGCAAACGTCCAGTAGCGCCATGTGTTGTAGGTTTTTAGTAAAATCGAGTATTCGTCTTACCCATATGCTTCTTGCCCGGGCTTCCCCTAGTACAAACTAAAAGACAGACCTCCACACTAGGCATTGCCTGTCCTGTGGAGGAAGGCATCACAATTTACAGGTAGTATTTTAGTACGGCTAAGCAGAAGTGTAATTATAATGTTTTACTGGACTCAAATCAAATTCAAATCGATTTACATGTCTCCTTATCTTATCATTTCCTTCGTCTTAACTGCGTACCTATACTTCTCAATTCCTTCGTTTCAACCAAAGGACATCTACTTCTGGACAAAGGCCTCCCCAAGAATGTTGCGTTGCGGTTATGGTATTATTATTATACATAAATACATACGGGACTTATCCCACCACACTTCCCCACCACTACAACTCCTGTATAGCTTGGCCTCCAATATAATTCACTGGTTGGGTGAAACCAGTGAAAGTTGAATTTATTGATACGCTCTAGAAGCACGAACCTGGTGCAGGTATGTGAGCTCGTAACCTGGCGAGGAGGTAGTATTATACGGATACCTGAAAATAACAATTCAATTAACCTGTATGTACAGTCGCGGAATGAAAAGGTTCGTCACCTTAGTGTCGGTTTTCGCTTGCACTAGGTACTGTATGAGTCAGACCTGCCAACATAACAGTGCAAGAAAACAGTGCTGCTAACATTTAAATAAATATGACGTTTGCTAACGAATAAGGTTTTGCTTGTTTATTTTTCTATCCCATCAGTGCAATGCAATGATGACATTGACCAATCGACAATAGTTTTTTTTATTTAATAGAAATAATAATGGCAGGTTGAACCAACAAGAAGGTTTTAGTTTATCAATCATAATAATCTTCTTGACAAGATAAATCGTCAAACAACTTTGATCTGAATAATTTTGAACTTTACTGACGAACAGTTAAAGATTATTTTTTCTAACTCGAGATTATTCTGTAACATAGTTTCAAAAGGTAATTAATGTGCTCGCGATTCGTTGAAGGAATCAATTTGAAAACTGACGAACCTTTTCATTCCGTGACTGTACGTACAACCCGGTCGAGTTAAGTGCGCACCTGGCAGCCGTGACGTCACATCGACGCATTCGAGTAAGTGGGAGGGAGAGTCGTATTCTTTTTTTTTATGTGACAGGGGGCAAACGAGCAGACGGATCACCTGATGGTAAATGATCCAGCGTGGTACGCAGTTAGCTCGACCGGGTTGTAATGGAGTAAAAACATAAAATATTAACCCCCTTACTAATAAAAAGTTACACAGGTGTTGATCACTGTTTTAAAATGACATTTCCATACTAAACGTCACTTTAAAACACTGATCAACGAGCGTGTAAGTTTTATTAGTAAGGGGGTAAGTATTTTACCCAACAGTCGAGCGCACATCAAACTATAATGTTTTCCACAATATAGCATCTATCATAACTGCATAAGATTAGAGGTCTAGCGCTAATCTTCCTTTCCTTTCTGTTATGTTATTTGTTTGGTGTGTAATAAAGTGTATTATTAATCTTAGTCAGTGCCTGAGGTAGGAGAGCGGCACGAACGGGTGTTTTTGAGATGTCAAACGTCAGCGAGACTTCAGAGGTGGAATTGTGTAAAGCAATCGCTAATCGTAATCATTTGACAGTTCATAACGTATGATAAAGTCAGCTAAACAAAGCGTTTGACAGAATAATCGTACGTTATGAGCTGTCAAATGATTACGATTGCTTTACACAATTCCACCTCTGATATGCTTCAGATTTGTATGCTCTGTCACATCATAATATGTCAATGTCACCCCTCCCGTACCGTTTCCATACCTCAGGCACTGACTGAGTTAATTGGCTAGACATATACACTCAACATCAAGTAAACCGCACCTTCCGCGACGCGAACTTTAAAGATTTTCTTCTGACACAATCATGGTACCCCAACAATATTGGTGTTATTTGAAAGCCTGTGGCGACATCTACGATACGCCACTACAAACGTGTACCAACAGATGGCGTTGTTACGACTGCACATGGCACACTCCGCCGCTCATACAAACCTGCATCGCGGTGACAGAGTTTTCTACCCTGCCAAGTAAATATAGACAAACCAAGATGGTGTAAATCGGACCTTGGTCCCCGAGCATAACACCCGCTCGGAAGAAAGCACTAACATCTAGCTTCCTTGTCTGGAACTGGTCGCCGACTTTCGTTTCTTCACATGACTGCCCGCCGACACAACATTTCGTATATCGCCGCTTCGCCAACAGAACCTTTCACCAGCGTACGATTCGTCGACAGCACAGTTCGTCATTAGATATTTCGCCTACGAACGATTCACTAAGCCGATACTTCGTCAATTAGGTAACTAATCATATTAGAATTATTCAAGTAAAGTTAGGTACTTTCGGATTTATGAAAATTAGCATTAGGGAAATACACATAATAAAACTTTTAATAGTCGATGAAAATAGAAAAAAATAAAAGAAAATAGGAAAAAACATTATGATTTAATGTAATACAAACTTAAATAAGCAATACTTTTGTAATGTAACAATCGTCAAAATCTATATTAATTAATTAAAAAAATCATGGTGAACCAAAATACGCTTTCCGCCCGCGGTTTCGCCTGCGTGGAATTTTGTCTGTCATAGAAAAACTTTATCGCGCGCGTCCTTGTTTCAAAAATACCGGGATAAAAACTATCCTATGTCCTTTCTCGGTACTAAAACTATCTCTATGCCAAATTTCATCAAAATCGGTTCAGTGGTTTAGGCGTGAAAGCAAGACAGACAGACAGACAGAGTTACTTTCGCATTTTTAATAATAGTATTAGTATAGTAAATACGAGTATTGCAATTATCAATTTATGTATAAAGTTTTTATTAAATTTGTAAATTTAAATAAGAAAAAAAAAACAAGTTTGATATGAATAAATCCGAAAGTAACTTTATTTGAATAGTTCTAAGATGAATAGTTAATTGACGAAGTATCGATTTAGTGAATTGTTCTTAGGCGAAATATCTAATGACGAACTGTGCTGTCGACGAATCGTACGCTGGTGAAAGGTTCTGTTGGCGAAGCGGCGATATACGAAATGTTGAGTCGGCGGGCAGTCATGTGAAGAAACGAATGTCGGCGACCAGTTCCAGACTCTAAATGATTAACATATACCATAAATGTGACTTGAAAATAGACCTCACTTTGGGCTTACCTCTGGGATCAATTAGACCAATTTTTATGGTTGTAAAACCAAATAAAGATCTCATGTGTCCTCTTTAACAGATGGATAAGCGATTAATCCCAACTTAACAGTTTTATAGTCATAAAAAATGGCTATAGCGTAACTACCTATTTTTTGAAGAAGTGACTCTGGATCCTTGGAAAGACACATTTTTGGGGTAAAAAAAGTTTAGAACTAGGCTTTCAAATGGTACCAATGTTGGTGGGAAGTGGGGATGCATACGTTTGAAAGTGCTTGTCGCGGGAGGTGCGATTTATTTGATGCCGAGTGTAGCTACTTAGCTTGATGTGCTGTCGATTGTTTTATGTATTGACTATTTACCAAGCTCGCGTAGGTAGCTCGCCCTTTTCAGGACTGATGGCCCAACCAAAGACGGAAATATTGGCCAGGAATGTGTAGATTGAGAATAGCAGAAAGGACTTACGAATACCGCTGAAAGGAATATTAGTCTTATTAGAAAAATTGTTCAAAATACCCGTAAACTCTGCATGTGTTTACATTTAGCAAAACTACCTTTAAGCACCGCAAACAAAAGCGGAGTATCTAGGTTATTTATTAACTAAATTGCATTATTGGCTGTCCCTGAAATTGGGACAGTCGACATTTAATTCTTAAGTCTACCTTTTCACTATCTCATGTCCCCAAGATGTATCCACAGCACGCAGCACCTGATCACAGTCTTCAATGATAGCTCTCACTTCTTCCCTCTTCCACAATATGTTGAACATCTTCAGGCCAAAAGAGATGTTTGTGAAGAGGAGGAAGGATGAGCTGGTCATCAGGGATACGTCTCCCCAGACATGTAATAGGTCCACGAATTGCACTATGATGGATATTCCTGGATAATTAAATGGTTTTACAAATCGTTAAAAGAAGTAGATTATACAATTAGATTTAATTTAGCCCTATAAGCGCATTTAGTTCGGTATACTATAAAATAATCGCATATTTACTATTAAAATCAAAGTAAGTGAACTGACAGCGTGTATTTCCGATGTTATTTGATGAGGTGCAGTCATTATTTGATATCTATCATCAAAAGTAAACGGAAAGACAAATCTGTCCCGTATCTAAATTACACAGGTACCCACCTACGAGGCTACGAGTACATGTTTGAAAAAAGTATTCAGCTTTGTTTGATAGAGCATTCGCGGTTACGTAAATACCAGTTTTGTTTGCTTGCTCTTGCAATGACACATGCTACGACAGTTAATAGTGCTACGGCAGCTAACTGTGCTACGACAATTTAAAGTGCTACGGCAGTTTACAGTGCTACGAAAATCGGACATCTTACCAGCCATAAACATGAACGTCAGAAAAGGATAACAATAGCTCAAAATATTCGTGACTTCTTTCTGCCTCGTCCAAAAACCAGTGTACAGTAGAATGGTTAAGGATATTTTCAAATCTGTGTACACATTGACGACAAAGAACTTCATTTTTGTGTTCTGTTTGGAACCCTCAGTGTTATCATTAGCGAGGATGACGCAGAACTGACGATTTCAGCGTGTAATTAGTTACCGTGCGATTGGTTTTAGGGAGTGTTCACAGTAATATAAAGATTTCAGATGGATGGATTCCGCTCAGAAGCTATAATTTGTTAGTTTCTTGTTGTTCTCAGCTGAGAACTGATGGTGAGCTCATCATCTATTGTTAAATTGAATTTTGTTATTAATAAGTTCCCTATTTTTATGACTGCCAAACGTTGAAAATAATTTGGTATATTAATCCAGTTCAACACGAAAATTTCAATACTTAATTATAATATATTCAATAATATTCATTCAATTAGTGAAGAAATAAATTAAAAATAAACATACTTAAAAGATAATATTATTAAAATACTACATAATTATATGTGTAAACTATTCGTCAATAACTCTAGCTATGTGTAAGCTAGTGGTAACTTATTGTGGTCCAAAACTTAAAACCTTTACGCTCACAGCGAGGAAAAAATACACACAAAACTTTTATGTGCCCTACCTTTACGCTAATTTTATGTTAAACTGTTAATTGGTACAATCCAAGCAATACATTAATTAAGTTGTCCTATTGATTGTCATTTGTCAATACAGAGTACTAATTGCTGACATTTGTAAATGACATGTTAATGAAAGGGAAACGTTTCGAGAAGCCTTGGGAAATAAACGACTGAGTGCCTAATTTCTGTTAGGTATTAATGTAGTTGTCCATAAGTGCCAAAATACTGGTCAAAATTGAATAAAATATTTTTAATTTTGTGTCAGGTAAACTACGATAAACTACAGGTTTTCACAGGTCACTTGCTAGGTCTCAGATCAACTTTATTGGGTACATAATAAAATAAATAAATAAATAGTAAGATTTGATAATAACTTAACTGAAATTTTATCAAGAAACACCATGCATACATTTGTTAGGTTTTATATTATGTATGTACTCGTAAATCTATATATATAAAAAAAATACTTTTTTAAAAACAAGCTTTATCCTGAAATGCAGTTGTACTAAAACGAAAAAAATAATTGTATGCTTGGTTCAAAGAATTTCAAAAGCTTGTATCGCGCATGGAATTTATTCCTCTTTTTTTTCTGTTTGCGCTACAAGCTTTCAAAATTCTTTGAACCAAGCATACAATTATTTTTTTCGTTTTAGTACAACTGCATTTCAGGATAAAGCTTGTTTTTAAAAAAGTATTTTTTTATTATAATTTTATTTTACACTTTTTAGTTGTATCTCAATCTCTAGGTCATTATTAAGCACCAAAGTGCTCGAGAAGTCGAATCCAACGAGCCCAAACTCGATAAGATTCCGCCGTTTCGTTTAGGAGTTCCCATGGCCACCTCCTGACTCCATCATCAGGACCCTGGACATCATCTAGCACCCATTCTTTTTTCATTGTACGTCAATGACATCCCCAAATATCCGAATACGGATTTAGCCCTCTTTGCGGACGACACCGCACTCTACAAGTCCGGACGTAATCGGAATTACGTCATCTTGGCGCTCCAACGCGCAGTCACACAATTAGGCGAATGGTTCAGAAAGTGGCGTATCGAGGTAAATCCCGAAAAAAGTGCAGCAATGTACTTTTCTAGGGCTTTGTCTGCGAAACGTCCTCCGGTTCGCACTCGTCCTAATGTCCCCACCCATCTCACCTTATTTGACCAAACTATTCCTTGAAGAGTGAGGCCAAGTACTTAGGTGTCACCCTCGACCAGAGATTATCGTTCGCTCCGCACCTCAGACGCGTCTTGAGCCGTTGCGAACCACTACACCCACCGACTCTACCACCTAGTTGGAAGGAAAAGTAAATTGTCACTTAGAAATAAGTTGACAATTTACAAAACCTGCATCCGTCCAGTGTTGACTTACGCCAGTCCGGTGTTTGCTCACACTTCCTGCACAGTCCTTAAGAAATTCCAGACCCTCCAAAACAAATTCTTACGCCGAGCCGCGGATGCCCCGTGGTTCGTGCGTAACACGAATCTCCATTGAGATTTCGAGATCCCATCGATTGATCACTTTATGAAAGAAGCCTCTCGCCGCTACTTTGATAAAGCGATCAACCACAAGAACCCTCTTATCGTTAGCGCCGCCACGTACACACCACAGAAAGATGTCGCTGCCCAATACCGACGACCTAGGCATGTCCTAGACGACCCGGACGATCCTATTACCGAATTTCTGAACACGTCAGACATCACTGCCTTAAGCACGCCAACTACTCCACAACACAGTAGCTCGTTACACCGTACTCGCCGGCGAGTACGAGGCCCTGCATTTCATTTCGGACGGTACAGACATGTACCGGGCCGGTTCTCCCCAATCCGTCCCCCGGACACGGCCTGAGCCGAGGTCCGAGCCTAGCGTGGCGCCCTCAGGCTGCGTCCGTAGTCCCCCTCGATCGGGCCCACTAGAGTGAGCCCACCGTAGGCTGGACTTTGGTCCAACACCGCGGTGGGCAACCCTCTAGTTGGGTTCGCCACTGATCGGGCGCCTTATGCGCTCGATACGGCCCGATCGCGAACGTCGGTATGCGCACCGACGATCGCCAAACGGCTAGAGTACCTTCTGTACTCGGCAATCTGCCCGGTGAAGCTGGAAAAGCTCGTCAAGCTACCAGCGCGCGTCCCTTAAAAAAAATCATCTAGCACTAAACTGCTCGAAAAGAAAGATCCAACGAACCCAAACTCGATGACTTTCTGCCGTTTCGTTTAGGAGTTCCTATGGCCACCTCCCTAATCCATCATCAGGACCCTGGACATCATCTAGCACTAAACTGCTCGAAAAGACAAAGCCAACGAACCCAAACTCGATGAGTTTCTGCCGTTTCGTTTAGGAGTTCCTATGGCCACCTCCCTAATTCATCATCAGGACCCTGGACATCATCTAGTACTAAACTGCTCGAAAAGACAAATCCAACGAACCCAAACTCGATGCGATTCCGCCGTTTCGCTTAGGAGTTCCTATGACCACCTCCTGACTCCATCATCAGGACCCTGGACATCATATAGCACTAAACTGCTCGAAAAGAAAAATCCAACGAACCCAAACTCGATGAGTTTCTGCCGTTTCGTTTAGGAGTTCCTATGGTCACCTCCCTAATCCATCATCAGGACCCTGGACATCATCTAGCACTAAACTGCTCTAAAAGACAAATCCAACGATCCCAAACTCGATGCGATTCAGCCGTTTCGTTTAGGAGTTCCTATGGCCACCTCCTGACTCCATCATCAGACCAGCTCAATGGTACCATAAAATTGCATTGTCATCGTACTTACATAAGTATACCAAATTTCAGCTCAATCGGTTGAGGAGAAGTGGTCTTAAATTCAGTTGCAAGATTTGTCCCACACATACTAACAAGTGAAGTCAATATAAAGCTTGTAAAAATGAAACCCGTTTTCCGTTGTCACGACATAACATGAAAACGGCTTGACCGATTTGGCTGATTTTTTTTTTGTAGTTTTCTAATACTCTGTACAAGGTTTTTACGGAAAAATATAAAAGAAAATCTCTACGCTAAGGCGGTACGAAGTTCGCCGGGTCAGCTAGTTAAAAATAAATATGTTAATATCCTTGTACATTATGCCAAACTAAGCAAAGCTTGCACTATTATTGTGTGGACTATGCATTTTCCTACTCAAAACTACTTGTAACATAAAGGAGTTATTTTATTTTTTCCCTTCCACTTGCTGCAGCAGTGTAAATAAGGAATACGATGCTTTTATTATCTGAAACAAAGAAAATAATTTGATAATTTCACTGTCGATAAAGATGCAAATATAAACAACGTTCCCTAATCAGCGAATTAAGATTACGAACTTTTCTCACTGAATAACTCGATGGTCTTTTAATTTAAAAAAACATTGACGTTTCGATAGCGAAGACTCATTTATTAATTTTATTACAATAAAGAACGCTATTTAAGTTCCCCACTACATGTCTAGCGCATTTATAACTTAAAAGGAGATTTCTGTGACGTCACACTTCAGCGAGACTTCAGCTGGGTTTCAAACTACTATGCTCTGTCATAATATTTCACCTCTCCCGTGCCGCTCGCACACCTCAGGCACTGACTCAATTACATATGTGTTACACCTATAGTATGTAAATAATACAATAAGTACATACCGCCATAAAAGAAGCCAGCGACAGCGTAGTGAAGCCTCCAGCGGTAATCTTGCTGATGCGCCGCGAGCGGATCATGACGATCAGCAGCGATCGCCGAAGCGATATCGACATCAGGTACCACGGGCACTCGTACGCTGAACCGGCTATCATAGCACTCTGCGAGAAGTAAATAATGATAGAGTTGACCGAGTTATTTCATCGATGTCCTTACTGAGATATCTAACGGTAGTTAAAGAATCACTATTTTGTTTATGACCTACACTGAACTGTTCCACCAAACTCATTGATAGGAAGGCGCCACCATCGTTCAACTACATAGTTTCCAACATAGCAAAAATCGGAACCAGCGATCCGGTATCGACGGTGGTGCCCCCCTGTCAATGTCACTGATACGATTCGTTGTAGTTGGACTGTGCATAAAAAATTTGACTGGCTGAGACTGAAAAATTCTTTGGTTTCAAGGGGCTCATGATCCAGTTTGAATTTCAGGCGATGACACGTTGTAGTAATTTATGTAAAAATAACACTCAATACTCAAAAGTTTATTGCCAAACTGCAATGTACATGTGGTGACACGAACCTCTTCTGAAAGCTGGTTGCCCTGGTAGCAGTACAGGAACACCTGGTACATCATGTTCACCAGATAGGTGCCCATTGACATAAGTCGGACGAGGTTTCCAGTTTGCTGTAACGAAGCACATAAACATTCACATTTATCATATTAGTAGGAGTAGGATAGGAAGAATGAACACCGCTGTCTACTTTGCTCAGCGGTAGAAAAGGTAGCAGGGAATCGCTGGACGCAGGCCGCTACCAATCGATGAACGTGGAAAGCATTGGGGGAGGCCTATGTTCAGCAGTGGACGTCCTATGGCTGAAATGATGATGATGATGAGGAAAGGCAGCGGACCATACGCTGGGGGAGACAAAAGATTGCCCTCAGCCGCAGTAGAAGTCGAAACAGATGCTTTCTCGGTGCAGGCGAGGAGAGCCCCACATAACTCATCGGCTCCCCCGGGCTGGCGAGTATGCAGTTTCATGCATTTTTAGGTCAAAGGAACCTATTTTTTAGGAAGAATGGGTTTAATTCGATCCACATATTTACCGATACAAGCTGGAACGCCGTGACACAAATGATGACCAGCGACACGTTGAACTGCGCAAAGGTTTGCTCGGAGAAGACGTCCTGGATCCGCTTTGCAGCCTCCAGCGCCGCCTGGTGTTCCCTCACGCATGCGCAGAGACGCGCGCGTACTATGGCCTCTTGCTCGGCGGTGTATTGCTGACAATACAGGGTGGAATTTTGTAATGCCATCTGAAGGGAAAGTACTCTTAATACTGTAGATAGAACATTTTACTCAAAGAAAACATTCCTTTATTTTTGAATAGAAATAGAACTGCTATCAAAGATTTTCAAAAATTTGCTTGCTACACTCGGGAATCGAACCAACTAAAATCTGTTAAAAATTACATCCTGTATTTTTATTGCACCGATCGTTAGGGTTAAGTATAAGGATTAAATCTCTCAAATAATTTTGATAAATCAAATGAAAGGAAAACCATGAAATCTTAAATTATTGTAATTATTTACAGAAAATTGTATGGTATCTTATCAGAAAATCTTTGAAGGCAGTTCTCTTTCTTTTAAAAAATAAAGGAATGTTTTCTTTGAGCAAAATTTTCTATCTGCAGTATTAAAGATACTTTCCCTCCAGATGTATTTACAAAATTCCACCCTGTATACAGTGTGTTTGGGATAGGGCTGGCGATAATTCAAGGGGATGTTGTGATGTCAATTTTATCGACAAAATGCCCCCATAGTGGGCCCTCCTCTTGGAATGGGGGGGCTTAATTTTTCATAAAAATTGTTTGTATTTCTTATGTGCCCGTCTTACAGATAAATAAAAAATTGCATTTGTAAGCCAATAATATGTGTCATTAAAAAAAACACAAAAATGAAAAATAATGACTAAAACTGATGAATTTTAGCTTTTATCAAAGAATTCAGTTTTGACAGGCACGTTTTTGGGGGCATTTTTGTCGATAAAATTGACATTTATAAAAAACATCGCCTTATCGCTAGCCCTATCCCAAACACACTGTATAAGCACAGACATAAGTTTTAAGTAACTTAAATACTGGCTATAGATTTCTTTATATCCTAAAGCTGGGTTGCACCATCTACTTTAACTTTGACAAACGTCAAAAATCTGTCAAACTCCATAAAAAACACCGGTTATCGTTATAGTAGTTATGGTCAAAGTTAGGTGGTGCAACTCAGCCCAAGCGATGTGAAGACTATGCAATAAAGCATTGGAAAACTACAATAAGAAGGTTTAAATTAGATACGCATTTATTTTACTTAGGTACTTAATTACACCCGTTTACTTATATTATAATTGAAAAAAAGTGCATTTTATTTTATCATCGAATTAAAAAAATCCTATAAAGTATAGAAAAATATTGTGTCAATAACAATGACCAAAAAATCTAAAAAGCGCCATCTATTAAATGTTGGGAGTACTGACTGCGTTACAAAAACTCGCTACGAGCCTACGAACTTACGACTACGCGAGCTACACCGCTACGAAAGCTCGTAGTTCTCATCCGTAGCCGCTGTCGTAGATGGCAGGATTTGCTGCGAATTCTATCTAATAGTAAGTTATTTATTTTCTTTGTATTAATCAAAATTAGTAATAACGTGTATGTGCAAATAATACGAATAATGAAATTAACTTTTCTCGCAGTGTTTGGTCCAATCGAAGTAAGAACTTGCAAGTAAAACCAGTAACACGTAAAAGCCATAATAACTATGTTATATTACACAATACATGCACGTCTTGAATACAATTGTTTCTGAAAGCTAAAAATGGTCATGGTGGTTATTATAATAATAATAAATAAATGTAAATACCATAGGACATTTTACAATACGCTTCTAGTCCCAAACTAGAAAACAGATTTTTTTTTTGTTATCCACTACGAGGAAGCTCTTGGCCTGTAGCTCACCTGATGGTACGAGTAAGTGACGATCAGGCCGAAGGTGGAAGCGAGCTTCACCCGGAATCCTCAACCACGGAGGAACTGGCTATCTTACCTCTAACTACCGGAACACATCAATGTTGTTAACATTGTTGTTATTTTGTTCTTAAATGCTAATATCGTACCAAAAAAGCTTCATTGTGCGCAACATCTATCTTAATTTCTTCTATCCTATTCAATCTACGTTACCTTCCCAGTAGCATGCAGGTCCTTGCACAGACTCCTCAGTGATAATCCCAGCAGCCTCAGCCGACAGCGACACTGCGCGATCAGTGACGTCACCAGCGAGTCCTTGCATACGTTGAGAAAGGCCGCGACGCATAGCGCTCCGATCTGGTGCATGTAGGTCAACTCGTAGGCTGGAGATTTTGACGTGTTGTATGGGTACCTGGAAGTTATTAAATGATAATAGGTACCTACTTATGCTAAATGAAAACCATTGAGTAGTCTGTTTTAGATTGGGTAGAGGAACATTGCAGGGTTATAAAACTTTAATTAACAAAATAGTTAATCTTTTAAGGAACCTTTTCCACGGAACCATATCCTCATCAGGTTGGTACCAATTTTGAAAGCCTTAATCTACGTATAAGGCTTTCAAAATCGGTAACATTTACAGAAACTCAGATTCAATATCTACTCGTAGATAGGTAAATTGCTTGTCCTAAAAAATTAGGTTATCACTAATTTGTAACCGGGATCGGAGAAATTCAGCTCTTTATCCAATAGACCTCAGAGGTATTCCCAGGACCAGGCTCTGACCTCAAATGTTACAGTCTATTGTTATTAATATTTATCAAATAGACATCATCAATTGATAGGTGTAAATAAGAGTAAGTATAAATCCCGGAATAAATTGCCAGTTTAGACATAATAATAATATTTCCAATAAAGAAACTGTCAATGTGTCAGTTATACCAGGAGTTATTCTGGGATAAAAGTTTGGTCGATTCGGGCCTTAGTGTCAACTACCCAGCAGTGTCAAACAAGAATACCTAAATAAACCGCTTGAATACAAACCAAGCTCTCAGAGGCAGCTGGTTCTTCTCCGCACTGGTTCCCCAGCCGACCATGGTCACCAGCGTCAAGCAGTTGTAGACAATGTGCAGAAATATGGTCTCACGGCTGCAACTGTAGGGACATACAACAATTAGGCTGACCTGCATCCTCTTACTTTACCTTTGATGAACGTCAAAAATCTGTCAAATTCCATACAAAAAGCGTCGGTTATTGTTATTGTTACGGTCAAAATAAGGTGGTGCAACTCAGCCTTAGACAGTAGTAATAAGTAGGTAAATGTTATAAAAGTACTTTTATGATATGCAGAATCTATCGGTATTCAATAATTCAAAATACTCGTACATTAGGGATAGAGGTTTAAAACGTTAACAACTATACTGGCCTGCAAAACGAAGTACTTCACTTTTAAAATTGCAATAAGTATAAAGTTATCTACTTTATAGTAAGTAGAGACAAGATACTTTAGTAATAAAGGACTTGAAATTAATTCAATTTTGTTACAGCTAACATTGCTATAAAACCTATAAACCCTGAAAAACAAGAACAGCATATCGAACTTCAGCATGACGTCACAGTACATAGTGAGCTGTTTAAGCATAGCTATAAAAAAATTAGAGGTATTTCAAATAGAAAAAAAAAAGAATGAAAGAATAGGATTTCTCTAAATAGTGCAGGAATACCTTTTGACAATAGCCTTCGCTTCATCACTGTCCACAGCTCTTAACACATCGTCCGCTCCCCTGATGATGGTCAGGACCTGCTTCCTCCTCCACACCATGAAGAAGATCTTGGTGGCTTGTGCCAGGTTGGTGAAGAGGACAAACGCTACTCCAGTCATGAGGGGAAGGTCGCCCCATATCATACACATGTCCACGGCTTGGATGATAAGGTAGGTCCCTGGATTTGTATAAGGACAAGTTTTATCTAGACTACCTAAATTAATTTTGTTCTAAGTATTTGAACGTTCCTTTGAAATATGTGTATTTTGTGTATGTGTATTGCTGTTGGTGAACCTTTATCAATAAATAAATAAATATGCAGAAAATTTAAATATTTCTAATACACCGTTTAATATCAACATTTGTTAAATTTGTAAATTATATATAACTTGAAAAAATCGAACTGCCTTAGGCGGGAATTGAACCCACATTCGTGTGAGATGCGAGTCTTAACGTTAAAAAATTAAATAGCATTTGTGTACGATATTTGTTAGCTTTTGTGTTGTTACTCAATCAATATTTACATAGAAAGACATGAGATTAAATGAAAGAAACGTTTAAAAATTTATTGTGTTTATCAAACATCTAATAGACGAGTATTTCTGTGAAATAAATTAATTTGAATGAAAAACCAAGGATCAAGATATTAAATATGTTAATTATGTACAGAACAAATACAATTAGGTCATTATCATAGTAAATTACTCAAACGTCATGCGAACAGCATTCAACGAAATCTGCTGCTTACCTAACAAGAACATGAAGCTGAAAAAGCCGTAGCAATCGTACAAAATCCTCTTGTTCCCTCCAAAATGCTCTGGCATCCAGAAACCAACGAGCCTCAGAGCAGTCAGAGACATGCTCACAGAGGTTGTGACGTTTTTTACAATCATTATTGCTTTTACAGAGCTTCAGATTCTCTTTTACCCTTTTGATTGGTTTCGTTGCTGTACTAATGACAGTTAAACTTTCCCAAGGCACTGACCTAGCCTATTCACATATGATGATCCTGTGATCTTGACTACACAGGATTGGTAGAAAAAAAATGGGCATAAGCAGGTCTTTTGCTGGTCCTGCCTTTTACTGACTGTACGAAGAAAGACAGTCACTGGAGAATCAAAGACAAATGAAGCTTAATTCAACCAAATGACGATTTTAGTTCGAATGTTTTAATTGCAGTTTACATTGGCTGTCAACATTTTTTACAGTTACAAAGTTTTAGTTTCTTGAAACAACATTGCCTACATATAAAATGCATGTAATCGTATATTATGCTACAGTTTAGTAGAGTAACACTGTAATAGAAAGAAACTTAATCTACGCTTAGTCTGTCTAATCAAATATCTCTAACTAAACCATGAGTGTCACAAAGTTAATATTTTTCAGTAATTATATCAATGCAAATTTTTGATTCCTTGGTGAAACCAAATATAGAATTTAAGAAAACTTACAGGTTCCCAACCACTGCTTCCTCCGCACTCGATAATTGCCAGTGTTATGTGAAATTACACACACAAATATAATTATGTTATTAGGTTATTACCTTAAACATCGCCTTCGGTTCGACTTCAAATAAACAATTCGCCTTTAGTTCAATAAACACTGAATTTCATATGTGACCTTGAAACATTTTAGGGACCATCATTGAAGACTATACTGGGGTTTAGGTATTCGTTAAATGATATAAATATTTAAAAAATTAACAGTGATAGTTCACATATTTATACAGAATAGTACTGGAAGTAATATTACATCTTTTTAGTATCATTTATTACAACTAAGTTACATAGTAGAGTGTACATGACTGACTTGATATGCTACCGCTCTGTGTACTTCCAGCTTCATACTTTATGCAAATGCACTGCTTCCTTGCAAAACACAACCTTTACGAGTAAAATCAGTTTGAAGTGAACCCACAACTAAGAATAAAACTAATTTTCTTGAAATTGCATTGAAATTCTTGAATTCCTTCTGGCATGTATCTTGATACTCATCGTAATAATTGTATTAGATATGTTTCTCGGTATGTTAAACAGGGTAGTAGATTAACATGTGTATGAGCGATAAGTCGCCCGCATGCCTCGTCAAACCTATCAGATGGGCTCGGCGACTGACCCACACTGACGCTACCATTGTACAATTTAAAGATATAGTCAATAAAAAGTATACCCATCATACTTTTTTTAGAGCATAGTATTGATGAGAAGATATTTCACACTCCTAAGCGTGCCCATTCGTTACGATATATCAGAAGTGTAAAGATGTTTCAACAGCCATGAATTAATAATAAAAGGCAGTATGAGTTGTTAAGTAATAAATAAGCTTTCCTTGTAAGCAATAAGCACAAGAAAATAAGACACAGCTTAGCGCCTACTGAAATTGTTGGTAAATTGCATTTGCATCCAACTAACTTAATTATAGCCCGACCAGGAACATAAAAACCCTCGCCATGTTGCGGAAAATTAATGGTACTAATTTCTTTTAATGGCAACAGTAACTGAAAACTTCATTGACATGTCACCTTGCATGTCAGTCTATTGCTGTCAAAGTGTAAACAAACTTTATTTTAAATGTGCGCAATTGGTTTTGTGAATTAAATTGCTAAAATCTTTTTATAGTCGTGAAAGAAAAGTGGTTCACAATGTGTTAAAGTATTTGTCGAAGAGAAATACTAAGGGTTCGGACAATATTTTCATTGAATAATGTTTCCGACAAAGGTTGTCAAATTGACTGACATGTTTATCGTATAGTACAGTCCACTATGAAAATTAGCTGTGGTTTGTTTCAACTACCTATTTCAAAAAGAATTGTCACTTTCTAAGTGTTGAATTTTATAGAATTGGGAAAGAAGTAGCGAGTTTGAAGCGTTCATGAGCAGACATTGCAGTTGAATATTCAAGTTCTGAATTTGATTATTGATGAATAATAAAATAAATTCTACTAGTTCGATTGATGGTTTCATTTAATTTATTTAAAGCAGATTACCTATAATAATATTTTTTCGTTAATTTATGAAAATATCAAATTAGCCCGTAATCCTGAATCCTGATACATAAAGTTAGCCTATTAATTTAACACAGGTACGACTGTACTCAGTGTTGCACTATCAAATGCAATTGACGAGCCTCTATGCCAGGGTTTTTATGTTCCTGGTCAGGCTATACTATTAAATTTGCTAAGCTTTATTCACCATACGAAAAGCTTATGCCCCGTGATTTTTCGTATATCGTAGTCAAAATAAAAAGTTATTCAACAGAAAAAAAATCGAATTTTAAAAGTTGTGTGGCTCATAATGAAAAGATTATGTTTTTTGGAAGTCTCATGTACACTTAACGCTTGTCAATTTTGCAAATGGACGTAGAGTTTGACTATCGTGAGCGTTCAAAAGCAGTGTTTGCTTAAATGCACTGAATGCGAAATAAAAACAAAGGCCTTTAACTTGCCGCTGCTTTAAGCAGAATAGTATACTGAAAGCTATTAAATCAGGAGGTTGTTAGGTAAGTATTCTCCGTCAATTTAGTTCCATTAAAGCTGCCTAACAAGTGGTTAGCTGCGCCAGCTATACTTTGCTTTCTCAGCTCGCAGTTAGTGATGATCGCGGGCAAAAAGTAGGATGATTGGTCAAATCTGAGAAGATCACAGCTCGGAGGCGTGTCTGCTCCAGGATTTTATTTATTTCAGCCGATATTATAAAGCTTGGTGCAGGTTAAAGGGATTAGGATCACGAATTAGTGACACACCCACTTTTTATGATGAATTAAATGTCACAGATTTGCGTGCTACTTTGGGGTCGCGCGAAGTTGTTCACGTAATCCACGCTCTGATTCCCTTGTACACCAACCTGTTATACCTGAGATTTAATACTAACTTAAATACTTTTAGGCTTATTTTATTTTTATTTTATTTTATTAAGGAAAACAAACAGTTGTATAATAAAATTTACAATTCAAACCTTATGTAAACAGTTAGGTAAGTAATTATACAACCAACACCGTTATCCACAAGAGGACTGTGGGTCTAGAATGCGCTTATATGATGCACGTGCCCATACTGCCTAGTTTTACTGAGATTTTTACACAGAATCCTCTTACACATTACACATTCATGTTGAACCAAGCCTGACAAGCAAGTACAAGGCTTGACGTTTGCCTCCGAGGCCTCTTTGGGTCCCCAGATTTTAAGTAGTCCTGACCTACCAGGCCTTGCTTGTGACGTAAGATCTGCTCCGATATACAGGGTGTTAGGTAAATGGGTATATGAGCCGACACTAGCCCATGTTAACATGGTCATATAAATGGTATGGTGAAGTCAGAAAATTGATATCTTCATTTTAATTATTTTATTTTTCATACAAATCGGATTTTATAAAATAATTTTGTATGAAATTTAAAAAAATTAAAATGATGATATAAAATTTCTGACTTCACCATACCATTTATATGACCATGTTAACATGGGCTAGTGTCGGCTCATATACCCATTTACCTAACACCCTGTATACAGACCTTCGAACAGAACTTCAATGGGACTCTAAAAAAGACATTTTTTAGTTCATATTGTGTGTCTCATCTGGAAATTGAGCCTAGTACAAGGTGTCTTAAAAGAAAGTTTATATTTAGTGGATCGATAAAAAAAAAAGTAAGCCTACACGGCAAAAAAATTTTTAGTGACTATTAAAGTACACATTTTGGGAATTTATTTCTTAAAAATAATATTGTCCAAATGTAGACCCTCACGTTCGTAGCACTCATTTAATCGAACAGTAAAATCACTTATGACGGCTCAGGCAGGTAAACTCAGTGATGGCTTCCATTTCATGACGGATATTTTCTTTCAAATACGCCAGGGAAGTTGGTTTAGTGGCTTAAACTTTATATTTAAGTTAATTCCATAGGAAAAAGCCCATAATGGTTAAATTAGGACTGTGTGGAGGCCAATTGATGTCATCTCTCCTGGAGATCAATTTTCCAAAGAAAATTTCACATGACCAGCCTCTGATTGGCTTCTTGGGGCTTTAACTCTTGCATCAATTGATTTTTGTAGGAGTATAGCTTTAGGTCTTTGTGAAAAATGTGGTGTAATAATGATCTATGCACATTTAAAGCACTAGTGTGCTTCCGACTTGAAAGGTTCGGGTCGTCACGAGCGGACTGATTAACACTCTCCACGTTTTCTACCGTTTTTGATGACCATAGTTGCCCGGATTTTTACTATTCCAGGGTTGTACGGGTCTCATAAAACTTTTTGGCCCCTTTCCTAATAAGAAGAATGCTTGGAGCATTATTTAAGTGGCGAAATCTACGCGCTACAGTCGCAGAATAACCATTTTTGTAAAATTCTCGCAAGCACAACGCGCGGTCTGCTCCCGAGAAATACTCCATAGCACCTAAATTCCCAAGAGCCAGGCTACTGATTGACATAACCCCCGCACCCCTCGGATTTGTTGCGTTCACGCAGTAAGCTAATCAAATGTAAACATTCTTTTGAGACACCTTGTACTTCCAAGTCAAGAGAGTCCAACTTTATAACACCGAAGGAGATCACAGCTCATCCGAAACTCTTTTCTATAAAGTACCACCAAAATACCACTAGACGCGGGTAGCACAGGACCGCTCGAAGGAAATCCTTGGGGGAGGCCTTTGTCCAGCAGTGGACGTCATTTGGCTGAAACGAACGAATGAACCATCAAAAAACTTTTCCAAAACTAGTGCTCATGAGCACTATCCCTTAGTGCTGCTAGTGCGTCACTTGTTGCAGTGGGCGGGGCAGACTCCGCCCCTGATCGCCGCGGAGCCTCCGCCGCAGTCAGCCCGACACCTCCGAAGCACCATGACCCATCGCCTGAGGTTCGACTTGCGAATGCTGTCGCCGGAGCGCTGACGTCTACTTAAACGGAAGGTAAGTCACTGATTTATCTTTGAGAGCCACTT